TGTAGTCCAGTCCCAGCATCTGGCAGTCAGAGGCTTAGCCATCTTGGTTAACAGCCATTGATAGACCTATTCTCCATGAATTTACCTAATTCTTTTTTGAAGCTAGTTATACTTCTGGTGCTCAGAACATCCTCTTGTAATGAGTTCCACAGGCTGACTGTGCGTTGTGTGAAGAAGTACTTCCTTATGTTTGTTTTAAACCTGATGCCTATTAATTTCATAAGCGACCTCTGCTTCCTCTGTTACGTGAAGGGGCTAAAAACATTTCCTTATTCACTTTCTCTACAACATTCATGATTTTATAGACCTCTATCATATCCCCCCTCATCTCTTTTCCAAACTGAACAGTCCCAGTCTTTTTAATCTTTCCTCATATGGAAGCTGTTCCATACACCTAATCATTTCTGTCACCATTCTCTGTACCGTTTCAAATTCTAATACATATTTTTTGTAGGGCTGTCAATTAATCACAGTTAATTCATGCGATTAATTCAAAAAAAATTATCGCAATTAATCACAGTTTTAACTGCACTGTTAAACAAGAGAATACCAATTGAAATTTATGAAATATATTGGAGGTTTTTCTACATTTTCATATATATCTTGTAGTCTGTGTTGTAACTGAAATCAAAGTATATATTTTGATTACAAATATTTGCACTGTAAAAATGATAAAGAGAAGAAATAGTATTTTTCAATTTACCTCATACAAGTACTGTAGTGCAATCTTTTTTCCTGAAAGTGCAACTTACAAAAGTAGATTTTTTTTGTTACATAACTCCACTCAAAAACAAAATAATGTAAAACTTCAGAGCCTACAAGTCCACTCAGTCCTACTTCTTGTTCAGCCAATTGCTCAAACAAGTTTGTTTACATTTACAGGAGGTAATGCTGTCCTCTTCTTATTTACAATGTCACCAGAAAGTGAGAACAGGCATTGCATGGCACTTTTGTAGCCAGCACTCCAAGGTATTTACGTGCCAGATATGCTAAACAATCTTATGTCCCTTCACGCTTCAGCCACCATTCCAGAGGACATATATTTCAGTTCCTTCAGAACTCTTGGGTGAAAACCACCTTGTCCTGGTGACTCTTTAATTTATCAATTTTTTCTAAAACCTCCTTTATTGACACCTTGGTCTAGGACAATGCCTCAGATTTGTCACCTAAGAAATGACTCAGATGTGGGAATCTCCCTTCCATGGTATGCAGTGAAGAGTAAAAAATTCATTCAGCTTCTCCACAATGGCCTTGTCTTCCTTGAATGTTCCTTCAGCACTTTGTTTGGCAGGCTTCCTGCTTCTGATCTACTTAAAAAAATGTGCTTTTATTTTTGTGTCTTTTGCTAGTTGTTCTTCACATTCTTCTTTGACCTGCCTAATTGTACATTTACACTTGACTTGCCAGAGTTTATGCTCCTTTCTATTTTCCTCAGTAGGATTTGACTTCCAGTTTTAAAAGGATTCCTTTTTGCTTTTAACCATCTCATGTACTCTGTTGTTTAGCCATGGTGGCATACTTTTTAGTCCTCTTGCTTTTTTTTATTTGGGGTATATATTTGAGCCTCTATTATAGTGTTTTTAAAAAGTTTCCATGCAGCTTGCAGGCATTTCACTGTTGTGACTGTTCCATTTAATTTCTGTTTAATTAGTTTCCTCATTTTTGTATAGTTCTCCTTTTTGAAGTTAAATGCTACTGTGGTGGGTTTATTTGGTATTTCCCCCTCATTCGCACAAGGATGTTAAATTATATACATTACAGTTGTTATCACTGAGTGGTTCAGCTATATTCACCTCTTGGACCAGATCCTGTGCGACACTTGAGGACTAAATCAAGAATTGCTTCTCCCCTTGTGGGAGATTAGCTGCTCCAAAAAGCAGTCATTAATGGTGTATTTAAACTTTATCTCTGCATCCTGTCTTGAGGTGACATGTACCCAGTCAATATGGGAATAGCTGAAATCCCTCATTGTTACTTAGTTTTCTATTTTCATAATCACCATCATCATCTTGTTCAGGTGGTCGGTAGTATATCCCTACTGCTACACTCTTCAAATTCAAGCATTCAATTTCTGTCCATAGAGATTGTATGGTATAGTTCGATTAATTTAAGATTTTTACTATATTTGACATTGCTTTCTTTCACACATGGTGCCATTCCCCCCACCAGCGTGACCGAGTCTGTCATTCCTATGTATTTTGTACCCTGCTATTACCATGTCCCATTGATTATCATTGCTCCACCAAATTTCTGTGATGCTTATTATATCAATATCCTCATTTAATGTCAGGCACTCAAGTTCATCCATCTCAGTATTTAGACGTCTAGCATTTGTATGCAAGCAGTTATAAAATTTGTCACTTTTTAGCTATCTGCCTTTATGTGACGTAATTGAATGGGACTCTTTTTCATTTGACTGTTTCTCTTCAGCTCTTACCTGTACTTTAACTTGTCCTCACCGCTTTTCTAGGATATAGAAAATTCCTGTTAATAAATCCTCCTCTAAGGGATGTCTCTGTCTGAATCGTGTGCTCATGGGCAGCAGGTGGAGTCCCCCTTCAGGGAGGCTAGCCTTGGCTCTGCCCCTCCCTTGTCCGTAGGAGCCCTGAGCCGGTTGGAGCCCCGAGACCCCCTTTCGTCCCTACAGTCAGAGCCCCACCCTGCCCCCCAGTGGCTGGAGGAGCCCCGAGCCAGCCGAAGCCTTCTCCCCCCCATGGCCAGAACCTCAAGACCCCCCTCAGCCGGAGGGCCCCCCCACCTGCCTGGAGGAGCCCCCAACTGGTCAAAGCCCTGAGCCCCCCTGCCCAGAGTCCTGGGCCAGTTGCTGCCGCGCTTCCCCTCCCTTCCCCAGACCTCAAGCCACCTGGAGAAAAGTGTGCATCCCTCAGAGCTCCTCTGGAAGAAGCTTTGCTATGCCCCAGCAGGTTCCCGGGTGGTTGAGGAGGCTGTATGTGCTACTCACCTTCTTTCCGGGTTCATCAGTAATCTCCCTGGAGTCCAGGGTGATTACTGATGAACTCAGGAAGCTGAATAGCACATACTGCCTCCTCAGCTGCTCCGGAACCTGCATGGGGCATAATAAATCAAAAACTTCACCCCAAACCCAGCAACCGGGGCTCTGGCAGCAGTGCCAAGGGAGGCTCAGCCTCCAGCCTATTATACCCATTGCCCATGTGTGCTTCTCTGCACTTATTATCTTTCCCCCAGTGCTTAGTTTCAAAACTCCTCTACCTTTTTAATTGTACATGCCAGCAATCTGGTTCCATTTTGGTTTAGGTAGAGCCTATCCTTCTTTTGTGTGCTCCTCCTTTCCCAAAAGATTCCCCAGTTCCGAATAAGTCTAAATCCCTCCTCCAAACACCATAGTCTCATCCACGCATGGAAACCCTGCAGTTCTGCCTGTCTACACTGGCCCTAGCATCCATTCAGAGGATGCTTCTATAGAGGTCCTGGACTTTAATCTCTTACCTAGCAGCCTGAATTTGACCTTCAGGACCTCCCTCCTGCCTTTCCCTATGTTATTGATACCTACATGTACCCATGACCTCCAGTTCTTTCCCATCACTGCCCATAAGTCTGTCTAGATATCTTGAGGTAGCCACAACCTATGCATCCAGCAGGTAAATCACAATGTGGTTCTCACAGTCATCACAAACTCCACTGAATGCATCCACTGAAGTGAGCTGTAGCTCACGAAAGCTTATGGTCAAATAAATTGGTTAGTCTCTAAGGTGCCGCTAGTCCTCCTTTTCTTTTTTCAAATATCTGTATTTCTAATAATCAAGTCCCACACTACTATTACCTGGATCTTAATAACAGGAGTCCCCCTCCCCCAGAGAGGTTTCCTAGTGCCAGACCATACCATGACAACATCTGGAAGGAGAATCCTAACTATGGGATCATTCCCCTCTGCTCCTGTTCAATGGCCTCCCTCACCTTAAATGAACCCCCCTATGAAATTCTATGGTGATGAACACAATATAAATACAGCGGATGGACCCCCGCCCGCTACGTGGCACGAACGAAACCAGCACATTTTCCCCGCCACTACAGGTTTGCCCAACGTGAGGGAGCCTGGGGCTCGCCGCTCGAGGCGTTGCTTTCCCCTACCACCTGCTGCCGCGCCCCCATCTACACTAAACAGTGACTCAGGGCCGTCCTATGCCTTTGGGGGGGGGGGTCGGGCTATGTGGGGCCCCAGGCCACCCCCTGTGGTCTGGGAGGCAGGAGCTGTGGCGGGAGGGCACTTTTGGTGGCTCCACAGGCCCAGAGTTGTAGCGGGGGGCCGGGAACAGCCCGCTCCGCTTCTCTCGCCCCGGTCCCAGCCGTGTCGCTTGGGGGAGAGGGTTTGAAGGAAGGGATTTCCCCTCCCCCTCACCGGCGGGAAGCAGAGCATCCCAGCCCCCCGCTCTACTCCACCAGCTCCCAGCCGCGGTGCTCCGCTTCCCGCCGCCGGTGACTGCGGGTGGGGCCAGCCGGCATTCCTTCCTCAACCCCCCGCCTTCACCGGCGGCGGCAGCGGGAAGCGGAGCGCCACGGCTGGGAGCCGGCGCGGGCTGGGGCCGGGTTGCTCCGCTCCCCGCCGCTGCCGGTGAGCGCGGGGTCGCTGGGGGGAGGAAGAGGTGGAATGGGGGCGGGCTGGTGGCGGAGCAGGGAAACAGGTGGGGCGGAGGGAGTTGTCCGGGGCCCCACACCCCCTTAGGGACGGCCCTGCCCCTTGCTGTGGGCGCAGCCCGCGGGCGCTGGGGCTGCCGCGTACGCAGCATACAGCTGCCTAGGGCACCATGAAATTTGGGGCAATTTGGTGCCCCAAATTCCATGGTGCCCTAGGCAGCTGCGCGTGCCTAAGGACGCTCCTGCGCCGCCTCTGCCCGCGCGTTCCTTCCTTCCCCGGCGCGTAGCGATCCACGCACTCACTCGGCCTCAGCCGCGGTAGCGTGCGCATGCGCGCTCCGGGGAGGGACCGGAGGGCGCAGGCGCCTCCAGCGACCCTGGAAGCGCTTGCGTTCACCCGGAAGTGCTTCTGCTGCTGCTGAGCAAAGATGGCGGCGGACACCGCAACCGAGCTGCTGTTTTTAGACACTTTCAAGCACCAGAGCGCGGAGGTACTGGGCGGGCGGGGCCCGCGGAGCCACACCTGCCCTCAGAGAAAGAGAGAGGGAGGCAGAGAGATCCTCCCTTCTCCCCTTGGGCTGGCCCGCTCAAGAGCGTGGGGACTCTGGCTGGAGCGGGCTGGGGGTGGGGGTAGGATTCGTGGAGAGTGCAGGCGGGGGCGAGCCAAGGGGTGGGCTGTAGAGGGGCAGGGACAAGGACTGGGCGGGTGACGCTGCCTGTTCCAGATCCGCGTAGGGGGGCCATCAAGGCATAAGCATGCAGAGGAGACACCCCCAGTGCCCTCGTATCACACCGTGAAGCCCCGGCCTGGTCAGATGCTTAATGCGTTGTAGCTACAACAGGTGAATATTTCCTGCCCCATAAGCTTTAGCAAGGCTTGTCGTGCAGGTGACAGGCAGCGTAGAAATGGGGTGGATGTTAATGAGGAGGTAGCAGAGTAAGAAAAGAAGAATCGATAGGGGAGGAAGTTGAAGGGGTGGGTGATGGAGAAATGGGAGAGGAATTATAAAAGGGGCAGTTTGATAAGGTTATGAGAGTGAGACTGAGGGGAGAAGTCAGGAGCAAAAGTGCTTTTCTGCAGCTTATGGTGCATCTCTTCTTTGCAGCAGTTAATGAGGAGATGGGGAATATTCATTTAGGCTCATATGTCCTGTGTGTCCCATTGCATAGTAGGCATAGTGTGGATGTACCAAGCTTCTAGTCTCAGAGGGTAACCCTACAGACAGAAGCTCAGTGTTGCAAAGATACTTTTGTTGTAGTGGAGAATTTTGTCAGTGATTGTGTCACCTGATGTGGTGACACTTTGTGTGGGAGAGATGTATCTTTAAGCAAGCATGATGTTAAAAGTGAAATTGTCAAAAGTGGATCTGCAGGAAGTCACTGAGGCTGAGAATTTAACTAGATTCAAAAGAGATTGGACATTTGTATGGCTGTCACCTTGGTCTTAAAATAAAAGTGTTTAGTGTTTTCACAGTGGAAAGAGATAAATAGCAGAGTTCCCCAAGGATCTGTACTGGGACCAGTGCTGTTCAATATGTTCATAAATGATCTGGGAAAAGGAGTAAACAGTGAGGTGGTGAGTTTGCAGATGATACAAAATTACTTAGCATGGATAAGTCCAATGCAGACTGTGAACAGTTACGAATGGATCTCTCAAAACTGCGTGACTGGGCAACAAAGTGGCAGGGATGGTTTCTCAAGGCTCTGTTTGCCAGATGCTGGGAATGGGTGACAGGATGAATCACTTGATGACGACCTGTTCTGTTTATTCCCTTTGATGCACCTGGCATTGACCACTGCCGGAAGATGGGATACTGGGATAGATGGACCTTTGGTCTGACCCAGTATGGCCGGTCATATGTTCTAGATGAAATTCAGTGTTGATAAATGTAAAGTAATGCACATTGGAAAACATAGTTCTAAATATATGTACCAAATGATAGGGTCTAAATTAGCTGTTACCACTCAAAGATATCTTGGTGTTACAGTGGATAGTTCTCGGAAAACATCTGCTCAATGTGTGGTGGCAGTTAAAAAAGCTAACAGAATGTTAGGAACCTTTGGGAAAGGGGTAGATAGTAAGACAGAAAATATAATGTCTTTATATAAATCAGTGGTATGCTAACATATTGAATACTGCTTGCAGTTCTTGTTAGCCCATTTAAAAATATATTAGAATTGGAAAAAGTACAGAGAAGGGCAACAAAAATGATTAAGGGTATGGAACAGCTTCCATATGAGGAGAGATTAAAAAGACTGGGACTGTTTGTCTTAGAAAAGAGACGACTAAGAGAGGATATGATCGAGATCTATAAAATCGTGAATGGTGTGGAGAAAGTGAATAAGGAAGTGCTATTTACCCCTTCATGTAACACATGAACCAGGGGTCACCCAACAAAATCAACAGGCAGCAGGTTTAAAACAAACAAGGAAATGCTTCTTCACACAGTGTCCAATCAACCTGTGGAACTCGTTGCCAGGGACACTTTGAAGGCCAAAACGATAAATGGCTTGAAAAACAAATGAGATAAGTTCATGGAGGATACGTCCATCAATGGCTAGTAGCCAGGGAAACAGCGCCATGCTCTGTGTGTCCCTAAACCTCTGATTGCCAGAAGCTGGGACTGGATGACAGGGGATGGATCACTGAATAAATGGCCCTGTTCTGTTTGTTTCTCCCTGAGGCATCTGGCAGTCTGCTGTCGGAAGACAGGATACTGTGCTAGATGGACCATTAGTCTGATCCGGTATGGCCATTCTCACTTAATAGTTTTTGGAAGTGATATTAAAACTTGTTTTAGGGATCTAGCTAGTCTCTAATTATAAGAGATCAGGATGAGACCAGATTACCTCACATCTACCTGCTGTGGGTTCTTACACCTTCCTCTAAAGCATCTGGGACTGGCCACTACCAGACAAAATCCTGAACTAGGTAGAGATCAAGTTTGATCTGGGGTAGCAATCCCTGTGCTCATAAACCCTTTCCTTTTGTCCATACAGCCATATAGTTGTGCTTGCAAAAAAAATTGTCAAATTTGTTGCGTACAAATGATGGTCTGTCTGGTGCACATGCTTTTGATAATGTGTTGTTAGTTACTCATTGTTATTTATCATTACTGTTAATATTATGGTAGTGGCTAGGGACAATCTTATTGCACTGTAGAAACACACAACAAAAAGCCCATTCTTGTTCTAAAGAGTTTAGAAGCTAAGGAACATGGAAACATGCATTTTCTAGAACACTGAATACATTTGTGGCATGTGTAAACGGTGATTAAAAACCAGGGTGGATAAAAATCAATGATTTAAAAAAAAAAACAAAATCAGATTTTTTTTATTTAAATCAGATTTTTTTTTGATAAAATGCTTTTTGAGGAAAAAACCTATCTAAAGGTATCTTTGAGCTAAAATGTATCTTAATTAAAACTATCTCATCATGGAATAGGGTTTATAAATTCTAATTCTATAGTATGAGACAATATATTAATGTAATGTTTAAGAAAAGTTTTGTAAATGAGTTCCAGGAGTTTATGGATTAGGGACCCAATTTTACGGGGTTCCACAGGCTTCTGTATAGATTATTTAGGTTAATCTTTCTATCTACCCAATGGGACTCAGTTCTCTGTCTAGAAGATACCATCAGAGATGTTTAGTTTTGCAGTTCTCAAACTGTGGATTTGTGTCTCCAGAGGTAACATGCTTGCTAACAGCAAACATGTTTTAAAATAAATAATATATAGAGGTGAGAAATAACAGACCTCAACTCTATTGTCCCTCTGCAAATTTGTGTACACAATCAGTCCCTTACCTCTCTAAAAGTGCAAAGTTTCAAAAAGTTCAATGAATAGAAGATTGTTGGGGGAAGAATAGATCTGGACAAGGAGAAGAAGATTGGAACATAAGAACTTCCATACTGGATCAGACCAAAGCTCTATCTAGCCCAGTATCCTGTCTTCCGACAGTGACCAATGCCAAGTGCCCCAGAGAAAATGAACAGAACAGATAATCATCACCTGGCACCCATTCCCAGCTTCTGGCAAACAGAGGGTAGGGATACCATCCCTGCCCATCCTGGCTAATAGCCGTTGATGGATCTATCCTATTTATCTAGTTCTTTTTTGAACCCTGTTATAGTCTTGCCCTTCACAAAATCCTCTGTCAAAAAGTTCCACAGATCCTTCTTCCTAAATGAGTGAGTAGACTAGAGTAGATCTGCATATGGGAGTTTCTTTCTCTCACATGCACACCGTTTTGATACTTATTTTACTCCATACATTAAATTGTAGCTGAAGCACTTGTGATGATTATATTTAAGATTGTCTAAGCCAGAGGTGGGCAAACTAGGGCCCACGGGTCACATCTGGCCCGCAGGACACTCCTGCCCGGCCCCTTGAGCTCCTGGCCCGGGAGGCTAGTCCCCAGCCCCTCCCTGTTGTTCCCCCTCCCCTGCAGCCTCAGCGCGCCGTGCCGCTGGTGCAACGCTCTGGGCAGCTGGGCAGTGCAGTTGCAGAGACGCGGCCTGACCCGGTGCTCTGGGCATCACGGCTGTAGTGCCGCCAGCCACCGGTGCTCCAGGCAGCAGGGTAAGGGGGCACGGGGCGTTGGATAGAGAGCCGGGGAGTTCAGCATGGGGTGCAGGGGTTGGATGGGGCAGGGGTCTCGGGGGGGGGGCAGTCAGGAAGGGGGGGTTGAATGGGGTAGTGGGGGGCAGTCAGGGGACAGAGAGCGGGGGCAGGGGTGGGGGTGGATGGGGCCATCAGGGGACAGTGGGGTTGGGATGGGGGAGGAGTCCTGGAGGAGCTGTCAGGGGGTGAGAAGCGGTGGGGACGGATAGGAGGCGGGGGCCGGGCCATGCCTGGCTGTCTGGGGAGACACAGCCTCCCCTAACCGGCCCTCCATACAATTTTGGAAACCCAATGTGACCCTCAGGCCAAAAAGTTTGCCCGCCCCTGGTCTAAGCACTTCCATTTTAAGACCAAGGGTGAGACCTCAAATCTTGATTTAAAACTTCAAGTGACAGGATTCACCATTTACTTTAGTTCAGACCAGCAAGTAACCCATGCCCCAGGCTGCAGAGGAAAGCAAAAAACCCCCAGAGCCTCTGCGTGTCTGACTTGGGAGAAAATTCCTTCCTGACCCCAAATATAGTGATCACTTAGACCCTGAATATGTGGACAAGACACACCAGCCAGACACCTGGGAAGAATTCTCTGTTGTAATTCAGAACCCATCTCATCTATTGTCCCATCTGTGGCTGTTGGAGATATTTGCTAATAGCCTTTCTGGTTGGCCCATATGCTGTTGTAGGCAATCTCGTCATACCATCTCCTCCATAAATGTATCAAGCTAAGTTTTTTGCCCTCACTACTCCCTTTGGAAGGCTGTTCCAGAACATCACTCCTCTGATGGTTAGAAACCTTCACCTAATTTCAGGCCTAAGCTTATTTATTTCCAGTTTATGTCCATTTGTTCTTGTGCCAACATTGGCCATTAAGTTAAATAACTCCTTTCCTTCCCTTCCCTGGAGTTTATCCCTCTGATGTATTTATAGAGTGCAGTCATATCACCCTTCAGCCTTCGTTTTGTCATGCTAAACAAGCCAAACTCCTTAAGTCTCGTCTTGTAAAGTAGTTCTGCATTCCTCTGATCATCTTAGAAGCCCTTCTCTGTATCTGTTCCAGTTTGAATTAATCTTTTCTTAAATGTGGGAAACCAGAATTGCAGACACTGTGTTCCAGATGAGGTCTCATCAGTGCCTTGTAGAATGGTAGTAACACTTCCCTATCTTTACTGGAAATACATTCCCTGATGCATCCTAGGACTGCCTTAGCCTTTTTCGCAGCTGCATCACATTTGCAGCTCATAATCATCCTGCGACTGACCAATACACCCAGATCCTTCTCCTCCTCTGTCACGTCCAACTGATAAGTCTTCAGCTTATAGCAAAAATTCTTATTGTTTGGCCCTAAGTGTGTGACCTTGCACTTTGCACTGTCATCTTAGTGCACCATTGTTTGTTAGTGTGGACTTTGTTAAAACAGCTCAGAAAAATCATTCTTGTATCTAAAATAGTTCTTAAAAACCATTTTAACAATATGAGCTCCCTCTTCCCCATTAATGATACAGTTGTGTTTGTCTGAAAATGTTTTATAAACAGTTTCCAAATACAGTAGTGTCTGCAGTGTAGATAGGGCCCTAGTAGTAAGACATTTAGTTAAATGTTCATAATCATTTAATCCTTGGCTTTTCTACTAAGACTTCCTACAAGGAATTCAGTTATAGTGGTGGTTTTGTGCAGTGTGGTTGTTCTGTAGAATCTTGAATGAAGCTATGAATTCATTTCACATTGATTACTGGAAAGTCAGCAGATACTAATGACCAGAGTTTGATTTGAACAGATGACATAATCATGAAAGATTTTGTATCCCATAAGCAGTCTCATTAGCTATCTAGTTTCCCTTTGTTCCTGTTTTCTTAAAATCTTTTAACTGCAGTTCCACTTTTTAGAATGTGTTGATAGGCAATTAATATATTGGCAGGCTAGTGGATATATAGTATTAAGTTGTTCTAATGAGAAATGTGATTACGAGCTTCAGGGAAAGTAACTGCTCATGTGTAAGAAACACAATTTAATTCCTTGCCCATTGTCTGGTATTTACGGATAAATATATTTTTCCTGTTTTATAAATGTGTCTCATGAGGATATATACAGTTTAGTGAAAGGAGACTTTCAATTATCAGTGTCTGTGGTTTGCTGAGGTAGTCTTTTTTACTTTGGTAAACTCTGATTATTTTTCAGTTTCTAATACATTGGAAGCCATCACATCTCTGTTTTTGTTTATATCTTTCTTTGTGCAAACGTATCTCTGTTCTGATGTTTGAATGGCCTGAAAGATCTCTGCTATCCCTGACTTATATGATGTCAGCAGAAATGTCAGGAGTGCCTGAAAGTTTTCAAATGCTGCTGCAGAGGTAGAAAAGTCAGCACCAAATAGTATCTTTGCGTAGCTCTCACAAAATTCTGGCTGTAGTCTTTAATCTCTCCAACAGTGTCAGCTGCTCTTAAAAAAAAAAAATACCTTCTGATATTTAAAATTGGAGCACATTTTATTTCTTATACCGTAATAAACTTGGCAGTGTTTAAAGTGGCACTGTCCACTTGAAAATTAGTGAATTTTGAAAGTAACTTAAGTTCCTTTGTCAATATTTGTTTACTATCATTTTCAAAATGTTTCTCCTCCTTGTTGCTGTTTGAAAGGTCCTCACAAATAAAAAGGGAAATAATTCTGTAGGGGAAACAGTGAAACTTTCTATATGAAGCTTTCAAATGTACAAGCTGAAAAAAAAAAAAGATTTTCTCAACCCTTTCATTTACATTAATTTTAGGTATTGTCACAATAATAAGTTAAAGAAATTATCAGGATTGACATTTTTAAATTGGTGCTTTTTTAAATAGAGAGTACATAAATAGGTTGGAATGTAAAATAAAAACAATATAGTATTTTTCAAGCTTTATAACTTTTGTTTACTCTTTGTTTTTAGCAAAGTACCAATATAGATGTAGTTCGTTTTCCATGTGTGGTTTACATAAATGAAGTACGTGTCATTCCTCCAGGAGTAAAAGCTCACACAAGTTTGCCTGACAATAGAGCTTATGGGTAAGTCCTAAAATATTCAGATGCACATTCCTTGCATTTTGTTTGGGACTTGTGAATCACAGTAAAAACTGCAATGTAGGAAGGTAGCCTGTGCTTATGCATTCACTGAATATGCAATATATGTATATTTTGTAAATATATGTATTTTCTTTCAGGTTTTAAACAATAATATGTTAGAGATTTCAGGTCTTATTTGTTTTGGTTAAGGGAAGCCTGACAGGATTAATTTTTCCCTCTGTTTTATCAACAGAGAGACATCCCCACATACATTTCAGTTAGACCTGTTTTTCAACAATGTCAGCAAGCCAAGTGCCCCTGTTTTTGACAGACTGGGAAGGTAAGAATTTGCGAATTCATGTGCTTCATACATTTAAGAGTTTTTCTATAGAAGAATGTGCTGCATTTCCTGGTGTGTAGAAGTGAGAAATTCAACACAGTATTGTTAAATCTCCAAAGGAGTTTATTTTTTAAAATAAAGGTTTAGGGTCTGATAGTAATTAGTGGCCATAATACTTACTTCATTGAGTAGCCCTGTTCTCTGTAATAGGACTACTCAAGTTAATAAGTATTATGGTCCGTAATAAGTGTTTGTAGGATTGGGCCCTTACTTGTATACACTGTTAATAACAGAAGTTCACACTTTTGTGTTTGCAAACATTTTTCCCTCCACCATGACCTCACCCTGTTTGTGGATGTGCTTAAGATTTCTGTGGGGGGAGATGGCTCTGTAGAAAAGATAGTACAGCTTGAGAATTTATCTATTCCTGAAAATCTGTGAGACTAGGTGACACATGTACATCCAGTCCTGCCTATCTGTGCTTCCATATTTGCCTCTCTCTCTCTCTCTCTCTCTACTCTTTCCCTAGCATGAACCCTAGTTGCCCCCCTCTTCATTCATTGTGTAAGGGGAGAGAGGTGTATGCTTGAAGGGTCTGGGTAGAAGATCCCAACCGCAATTTTTAAACTGACAGTGTCCCTTTAATGTCAATGTACATTGAAAGTCCTTTGGGCTTTTTACATTCCTAAATTGATAAGCATAGATATTGTATAGTGTTTTGATACTGGCTTGAAGTCTCGTTCTTTTTTTCACTTAAGGTGAAAATAAGGTATTATTAAAGGGTCACATACAGAAATGTCCATACTTTGTGTGTAAAAGACTTTTGTTAAACATTGAAAAATAAGTTTGTGTTCTATTTAACAGCCTTGAATATGATGAGAACTCTTCAATTATCTTTAGACCCAATGCAAAGGTAATTGTTGTACCTATTTATGCTATAGTTTCAATGTTTTTCTTCTTCCTGTGTGGCTGCTATTTGAATACCATGGTGCTGCTATTTAGTGTGCTTAGCACTATGCAAAGCAGTTGTAGGGGAAGACCCTACTCTGGAGAGCTCATATTCAAAGCTAATCCATATAGTTCAATTGTATAATACACTAGGGCCATGATTTTAAAAATTAGCCTAGAGTTATGTTCCAAATGAGTGCCTTGATTTTCAAAAGTGTTGATCACTGAGTAGCTCCTATTAAGTTTACTAATGAAAATGAACCGGCTGACCGCAGCCATCTTGGTGAATGTTCACCTCAGAATTTGGCCTGATTGATGAAATGGAAGGGGTATGAGATAAGGGTTGCTTCATATTGACAGAGCCAAACCACTTCATGTCTGGGTCTAGTCACTGGTCTCAGTCTGCATATTTGGAAAACGCTAAAATCAAACATCACAAGTATACAAATATGTGAAGAATAAAGAGGGTTTAATCTTTTTCCTTTCACATTACTTATTACTAATACAGAGGCATATCAGTAATAATTTGTGAGAGAAACAAGATGGGTGAGGGTAACAGCTTTTATTGGACCAACTTCTGTTGGTGCAAGAGAGAAGCTTTTGAGCTACATAGAGCTCTTATTTAAGTAATTTAATAATGTGTTGACAGTTATAAAGCAGAATTGTTATTGATGATTGTAGCCTACATCTGAGCATATCTATTATGTTTGTCTGATGCATTCCAGTGCGATCTGCCCCAATGAATATTTGAATAAACTGGATTTAGTGGCTTTGACAATGTGTTGTTATGAATTCTTTTGGTTGTAAAATTATTCATGTGGTATAATCAGTAGGTCAATTTTTTAAAACCTTGAATAGATATAAAATATATTAATCTGCAGTTTTTCTTGTGTGTATTTTAAGTATATACCCATACAGAACTAGCATTTTAAAATTAAGTAAAAATCCTCAAATTCACTTTGAGTTTTTTAAAGATGCTTTTTCTTTTACAAACTAGGTCAACACGGATGGATTGGTCCTAAGAGGCTGGTACAACTGTTTGACATTAGCAATATATGGATCAGTTGATAGGGTAATAAGTCATGACAGAGATTCTCCTCCACCCCCTCCACCACCACCACCTCCTCCCCAGCAACAACCAGGTTTGAAAAGAAACCCAAAACATGGTAAGTATGTCAGAATTATCTGAAGTAAGACAGCAAAAGTTTTCTTTAATTAAAATTAATTATCCCAGTGGCTAAAGAGCAATCTTCATATTCTGAGATTTCATTGGATCTAATTATCCAGCTGTAAATTTTTGTCTCTTTCCATGTTATCTCTTTGTAGGTTTTAGGTAGAGTATTTTTTAATAAGTTCCTCTCCTTTTTCTAATGCTTTTATTGAGAGCAACTTTATTCATCACAAGGTACTTGATGAAAGGGTGCAGCTGAAGACGTAAATTAATTTGTGTTTCCCATGAGCTAAACTTTTAAGTCAAAGTGTCGGTGACTAAAATCACTGCTTCCAAAACTGAGGGTTAATGAACAAAGCAGTAGTTAAAGGACATGAAGGAAAGCCTTTTACTTAGCCTTCTGTTTGTGACTCCCAGGTTGCTAAAGAGTGATTGATGGTACCAGCAGCAGAGTGACCCTGTGCAGCAGTCACAAACAGGTTTCCGTTTCTGCCTCCGTACTGGTTTCAGAATTAGGGAGAGAACTGCACTGATCAGATGTTTAATCATTTTACTGTAGAAATATAACTATTGTACTATAAACATTCAGCTTCAGATTAATATTGGATTTTAAATAATTTTAACTAATCATGGTAGATTTATAGTATTACTAAACACATTCAAAGCAAATAATCAAGTGGCTAAGTAAATACAAATCTGCACTGTAACATGATTAAAAAAAACTCTAAAATGAATCTTGAACTCAGTGTTTATGTAAGAAATATCTTTGTTCATAAGCAGTGACTTCTGTTAGCTTTTAATTCACCCAGTGGCTTTAAATTTTTATGGGTGCTTCAGCAAGGGTGGTTTCAGCATGAGGGCACCTTCCATTTAATTAACTTTCCCCTTAGATGTTGGATGATGAAGGTGCATATGCTACATGAAGGGTGCTTCATAATCAAGGTTGGCACCCACGTTGCAAAATGTGCTACATTTTCCATCCTCCTCCCCCAAAATAAAATCTTTTTTTTTTCAAAAAAACAAAAATATAGTTGATGGGGAGAAAGAAGATCAGTTCAATGGGAGCCCTCCAAGACCACAGCCCAGGGGACCAAGGACTCCTCCAGGCCCTCCACCTCCTGACGATGATGAAGACGAGCCCATGCCTGTGACAGGTATAGCTAATGTAGATTCTTATTCTCTGTCTACTGCACAGCAGTGGATATTGAGGGGGGAAAATGGTAGGTGAGCTTTCTGCTTTCATTGATGTTGACAGATTCATCTTTAGGAAAAGCAATGCAGATGTAGGACTGGTAGGAGAACCCCTGGTTCTGCTGTGCCATTTTTAATAACTGTATTCAATGTAAAAGTGAGTAACTTTTGAAACATTAAATATAGACCACTGTAGTGCCTGATCCTGCACTCTATATCCCATGCAAAATTTCCATGGACTTCAGTGAATTTTTTCCTGCATAAGGACTACAGAATCCAAGTAGTAGTCTATACATTTTTATTATGGATTAAAAGTGCATAGAACTGTTTATGTAAATACAATTCTAATGAGGTAAATAATTGTAGTGAATGTTAAGTAAAAGCATTTGAATGCTTTTTGAAAAACATTTTTTTAATTTCACTGTTCACACCACAAAACCTGTGAACATTGTTAACTACTGGATTTAGTAATGAGATTTATCCCTTACTTTTTCAGTGGCTGGGGAAAAGGAAGATGATGTTGATCACAGAGAGGACTACTTTGAGCCAATTTCTCCTGATCGAACATCCGTTCATCAAGAAGGTCAGTACTCGGATGAAGGGGAGGTAGAGGAGGAGCAGCCAGAAGAAGGGGAGGATGAGGAGGAAGATGTGGATGTTGAGGAAGATGAGGAAGAGGATGAGGAGGATGGCCATACAGTAGAGAGTATTCCTGAGGAAGAAGACGAGGAGGAGGAGGAGGAGGATGAAGATGAAGAAGAGGAAGGTGAGGAGGAAGAGGAGGGTGAAGGTGAGTAATATACACAAATAGAAATGACTGAGATTATAGAATTTTTTGATGCAGTGTAGTCAAAAGATTAAAGCAGATGACTCGGAGTGAGTAGATCTGATTCTTATCCTAGCTCTACCGCTGCTCTGATTGTGTGATGTTTGGGCAAGTCACTTATCTTGTCTTTTTCTCAATGTGTAAAGAACGTGGAAGAAAGGCACTATAAATGTAAATTATTATTTATTAATAAAAACTCAGATTCTTCTATCTCAGTAACTGTGAAGGTGTATGTGTGCTTTACCAACACTATCTTACACCTTTGACTTGATAAATATCCAAATTAATTCAGTGAACAAGGAACTTTAAAAATAGCTGGTATTAAACCCTGTGCTATGACAACTCAATAATCTTTATTTTCTTAAAATATAACCCCCCCAATATTCCCTGAAAAACAAATAAAATTATAATTTTTTATACTTTTATAATTACATGATGGAGGACTGAATATTTTGGAAAGGAATTAGACTGAATTTTCAAGGATATGTGAAAATACACAGAAAGGAGAAGGGAAGGTTGATATTCACCAATGCCCAAGAACCCCCTTCTGTTCTCAAGAAAGTGACCAATTAATATATGTCTATCTGACCCAAAATAATCCATGCTTCCCAGCCTTGAAAATTGCTTAACTACTTCACTGATGCCTAACTTGCCAGGTGCGTGAAGCAAGACACCCTTCCACTGCTGCTCCATGGACCTGCTATGGTTTGTACCAATGTGCCAACATTCCAGTGGAATGTCAGCATTTCAAAGAATACAAAGGAGTTCTGTTGGCTCATAGGGACTCCAGCAAAGAAGAGCAGTGAAGCAGTGAACATTGAGAAGGACAAGAGACAACTAGGTTTATGGAAAGATTTTTTTTTAAGCCTAAATAAAATTATCAGGGAGAGATTTTTAGCAGATATTTTTCTTATCGTGTCAGCCTTTCGTAATCAGAGATGTTTAAAAGAGTAATTATGATATATGCTGCTGCTGTTACATAATGTTGTTGTCTAGAACTATCATTTTGTGGTTGGATTTCTCACTCTAGTAAACAGATTCTTTGCTTCCTGATTCATGGATGTGCTGCAGCCGCGCTCTGAGAAAGAGTAGTCTACTAATTTTGACTTCCACATATAGTAGTAGAAAGAAATCTTTTAGTGTTTTGGATATTTTATATTTTCCAAATAAAAATTTGTATGTTACTTTTGTACTTTGAGTAGTTCTCTGAAGTTCATAAACTGGGCTTGATATAACTGATTTATTTATTAAATTAAACTTAAAACTCTCTTGCAGGTGATGATGGCTATGAACAGATTTCAAGTGATGAAGATGGAATTGCTGATCTGGAACGTGAAACATTTAAGTATCCAAGCTTTGATATTGAATATACTCCTGAGGATCTAGCCTCAGTGCCACCTGTGACATATGAGCCTTTTGAAAGAGAGCTTGGACCTCTTTTGTACTTTAACTGTCCTTACAAGACCATATTTGAGGTTGAAGTTGGTAAGATAAAGGATCAAGATCCAGACAAGGAAAATTCAGGGCTAGTAGAAGCCTCAGTTAAGCTAACTGAACTCCTGGAATTATATCAGGAAGAAAGGGGTGCAAAATGGGTCACAGCTTTAGAAGAAATTCCAAATTTAATAACAAAAGGACTAAGTTACTTGCAAGTGAAGAACACAAAACAAGACTATATTACCCAATTAGTAGACTGGACAATGCAGGCTTTAAACTTGCAGGTAGCTCTCAGGCAGCCCATTGCTTTGAATGTTCGACAGCTTAAAGCTGGAACAAAATTGGTGTCATCACTAGCAGAATGTGGGACTCAAGGAATCATGGGACTCTTGCATGCAGGAGTTATTAATGCATTATTTGAACTGTTATTTGCAGATCATGTTTCATCTTCCCTTAAACTTAATGCTTTTAAAGCTTTGGATAGTGTTATCAGCATGACTGAGGGAATGGAAATGTTTTTAAGAGGTGGGTTAGAGGTACATGAAAAAAGTGGTTATCAGAAACTCTTGGAGCTCATACTATTAGATCAGACTGTGAGAGTGGTCACTGCAGGTTCTGCAATTCTTCAGAAATGCCATTTTTATGAGATTCTGTCAGACATTAAAAAGCTTGGTGACCAGTTAGCAGAGAACACTCCTCCCCTTCCTAATCATACGGAGTCTGAGCAGGAACCAGACCTTGGACTTGAGAGAACCAACCCAGAGTATGACAACGATGTGGAGGCGCCTATGGATATGGATCATCTTTTGGAATCTTCTAATATCAGTGAAGGAGAAGTAGAAAAACTTATTAGTCTCTTAGATGAAATCTTTCATTTGATGGAGACTGCACCACATACAATGATTCAGCCACCAGTAAAATCTTTTCCAACAATGGCACGCATTACAGGACCACCAGAAAGGGATGATCCTTATCCAGTCCTTTTCAGGTAAGAGAGCTGTGGTTCACTTTAGATACCAGCTTTGGGTACCAGAACTGGGTTCTTTTTTCAGTTTGGTACCTACGCATGTTTTGTGGACTACATAGGTAATAAAATAAAGCAGTGACTAACGTTACTGCTAGATTTTTCACTTTCCTAATATACCTTTAGTGGAGGCTTACAGATTGCTTTAATAAGCTTTTGGGAGAAATGGATGGTTTATGGGATTGCAGTTATGTTGTTGTTTCCAGTTCAGCCTATGTTAATACTAACCAAAAGTTGTTACCGTCTTACTACTTATTACTCGTATTGTGGTAGCACCTACGAGCCCCGTTCATGGATCAGGGTCCACTGTGCAAAGTACTGTACAAACACTTAACAAAAAGACCATTCCTGCCCCAGAAGAGCTTGTACTTGATGGTCTCAGACTAGTTCCTGCTGTGGAGAGGCATCCATATCACAAAATCCTTCACCGTCATCTTTGGCAGCTGCAGCAGAGTGACTAAGGACTGAATGGTCAGGGTGTATGTATATTGCAAAAGATGCCTTTTAAAGGCCATTTCTATGTACAAAAAACCACAGAGAAGGAATCCTAAAGAAGTTGTGTTCTTTTTTTTAAAGAGAAATTAAGTTCAAGAACTAGCAGTATTAAAAAGTTAAGGTTGAGCATTCAAGAACTCAAAACTTAGACTGTTCCAAAAATTAAAGTTTTTGCTCATTGGTGGTGGTGGTCAATGTGTGGTTTTATTGTATACATTATTTATTTCAGTGGGGATTTAATCCTCATTACATAGTTATAATTACATTGTGGAAAAAAGGTTCAGAATTCTGCTACTTCATCATGGTTCAGTATGGTTAATATATAGTTTCTTATAATATACAAAAGAATAAATTCTGGTGGTCCAAAATATAGGATAAGATACAGAGGATCTATTTTCTGTCAATGTTCTGTGTATGCAGATCATCATATGTTACAGATACTTCTGTTTTACATTTCTGCAGATACCTTCGTAGTCACCATTTCTTGGAATCTATCACCTTGCTACTCTCCATTCCAATAACAAGTGCTCATCCCGGTGTGCTTCAGGCTGTCAGAGATGTGTTGAAGTTCCTGGGACAGTCACAAAAGGGCCTCCTCTTCTTCCTGTCTGAGTATGAAGCAACAAACCTGTTGTTTAGAGCGCTATGTCAGTTTTCCGATCCAGATCAAGAAGAGGGTCTCCAATCAGATGGTGCCAGTGATGATGCATTTGCCTTGTGGCTCCTGCATTCAACACAGACATTGCAGTGTATTTCAGAATTATTCTGCCACTTTCAGCGGTGCACAGCCAGTGAGGAAACTGACCATTCGGACCTCTTGGGAACACTTCATAACCTTTACCTGATTACTTTTAACCCGGTTGGAAGATCTGCTGTAGCTCATGTGTTCAGCCTTGAGAAGAACCTCCAAAGTCTTATTACTTTAATGGAATACTATTCCAAAGAAGCTTTAGGGTAATTGTATTTTTGTGTTTACTCCTTATTTGAATAAACCAGCTGTCCCCTTTGTAAAGAAATAGATGGCGTAGAAGACAACAAAAGAAAACCTTACGCTTTGATGGTTTTGCAGAATTACCATTGATTTAAAATAGAATTACAGCATAGAAATTGCAGACATCTTTTGAAATCAGATATCTGTTAGCATAGAAACTATATAGTCATCAAGAAAAATGTTTGGTTGTTTCACTATAGGTCAGTTTTTTAAAAAATTATAAAGTATTAGGCAGTGTTTTATCCAAGTTTACTGTTTGCCTGTGAAACCAGTTATAGAATCGTAGGGTTAGAAGAGACAGCAAGGGTCATCTAGTCTAACCCTCTGCCAAGATGCAGGATTTGTTGTGTCTAAACCATTCAAGATGGGTGGCTATCCAGCTTCCTTTTGAAAACCTCCAGTGAAGGAGCTTCAACAACCTCTCTAAGCAGTCTCTTTCCTTGTCCTACTGTCCTTACAGTTAGGAAGTTTTTCCTGAGATTTAATCTAAATCTGCTATGCTGTAGTTTGAACCCATTGCCTCTTGTCCTGCCTTCTGTGGCAAGAGAGAAGAACTTTTCTCCATGTTCTTTTTTTTTTTTTTTTTTATGGCAGTCTTTCAAGTATTTGAAGACTGTTTTTATGTTCCCCCTTAATCTTTTCCAAACTAAACATACCTAGTTCATTCAGCCTTTACTCATATGTAGGGCCCTACCAAATTCACGTCCATGAAAACACATCACGGACCATGAAATTTGGTCTCCCTCTGTGAAATGTGGTCTTTTATGTGCTTTTAGCCTATACTATATGGCAGTGATTCTCAAATTGTGGGTTGGGACCCCAAAGTGTGTCATGACCCCATTTTAATGGGGTCGCCAGGGTTGTCTTAGACTGCCTGGGGCCAAAACTGAAGCTTGAGCCCCACAGCCCATGGCTGAAGTCAAAGCCCGAGGGATTCAGTCCTGGGCAGCAGGGCTCAGGTTACAGGCCCCGGCCTGGGGTTGAAGTCCTTGGGCTTCAGCTTTGGCCCCCTCCAGGATGATGGGGCTTGGGTTTTCGCCCTCCCACCCAGGGCAGTGGGGCTCAGGCTTCAGTCTCTTTCTCCCCTTTCACTCCCGGGTCATGTAGTAATTTTTGTTGTCAGAAGGGGGTCATGGTGCCATGAAGCGTGAGAACCCCTGCTTTACAGATTTCTCGGTGGAGACCAGCGTTTCTCAAATTGGGGTCTTGACTCAAAAGGGAGTTGCAGGGGGATCGCAAGGTTATTTTAGGGGAGGCTGTGGTATTGCCATCCTTACTTCTGCACTGCCTTCAGAGCTGGGTGGCCCTCCCACCCAGGACAGTGGGGCTCAGGCTTCAGTCTCTTTCTCCCCCGCTGCCCCTGGGTCATGTAGTAATTTTTGTTGTCAGAAGGGGGTCATGGTGCCATGAAGTTTTTCTTCCCTGAGTGTAGCACCGTACATTTGTCTTTGTTGAATTTCATTGTGTTGTCTATAGCCCAGTTCTCCAGTTTATCAAGATCCCTCTGAATTTTATTTCTATCCTCCAAAGTTTTGGCAACCCCCCCAAGCTTTCTGTCCTCTGCAGATTTGATCAGTATGCTCTCTGTTCCTACATTCAGGTAATTAATAAATATGTTAAATGAGACTGGACCCAGAACAGATCCCCGTGGAACCCCACTTGAAACCTCCCTCCAAACCCACATTCCATTCATAGTTACTTTTTGTTTGCAGTTGTTTAACCAATTATATGTATCCACTTAATGGTAGTTCCACATAGCCCACATTACTTCAGTTTACTTACCAGAATGTCATGTGGAACTGTGTCAAAAGCCTTGCTGAAGTCCAGGTATATTATGTCCACCACATTCCCCCTATCCACCAAACCAGTTACTTTGTCAAAGAAGGAAATCAAGCTGGTTTGGCATGATTTGTTGTTAGTAAATCCATGCTGGCTGCTAGTGGTCACCCCTTCATCCTCCAGGTGTTCGCAAATTTAATGTTTTAAACATTGCTCCATTAGCTTCCCAGGAATCAAAGTCAGGCTGACTGGTCTATAGATCCCCGACTCTTTCCCCCGCTTTTTAAAGATGGGCACTATGTTAGCCTTTTTCCAGCCTTCTGGGACCTCTCCTGTCATCCACGAGTTTAAATATTATTGCCAGTGGCGCCAAGATTTCTTCAGCTAATTCCTTCAATACTAGGGTGACCAGATAGCAAGTGTGAAAAATCGGGATGGGGGTGGGAGGTAATAGGAGGCCATATTTAAAAAAAAAAAAAAGCCCCAAATATTGGGACTGTCCCTGTAAAATTGGGACATTTGGTCACCCTCTTCAGTACCCTCGGGTGAATAGCATCTGGCCCTGGTGATTTGAATTCATTCAAATTGGTCAGAAGATCTCTGACGTGATTTTTACTTTTCCCAATATGCATCCCTACCCTTTATTGTCTGTGGTAATTTCACTAGTTGCCCGGTCACGTTATTTGTGTCTAACATTACTTGCCAGCTGAAACTCATTCTTTGCCTTGGCTTTCCTGATTGGAGACTATATGGTACAAGAGATGATTCCCCCCCCCCCACACACACACATACACATCACAAGTTTCCCCAAATCTTGAAAATGTCACTGTTTTTCTGGAGAGACTTATGACTTGAGGAGCAGATTTGTTTATTCCTTTCTTGAACAGCACTAGTGAAGCAGCGTAAGAAAATATACTCACTGTTTGCTTGAATATAGCCAATGCTATCCGTTTCCCTTTTCTTTGAGTACTGAAATTTCAAAAGGGGAAACATAAGAAATGTATAAACTATATAAGTAGCAATTACTGTAAAAAAAAAAACCAAACAGACCAGATATTAATTATATTTTGATCTCTTGCCAATTGTTCTAGCTTTCAAAAACTTCTATAAAGAGAGAGTGATTTTTATTCCACAGTATGAAAATTCTGTAGGTGAACTTGTAATGAAGATAGAGTTCTGCAGGCAGATTCATAAAATCTTAGGAGTGAAAAAATCTATCAAGTATCCAGTGTGCTAGCCTAGAATTTAAGAGGAAAATCCTGTATCCTTCTTTCAGTGACTCCAAGTCCAAGAAGTCGGTTGCCTATAATTATGCATGCATACTTGTTTTGCTGGTGGTTCAGTCTTCCAGTGATGTCCAAATGCTGGAACAGTACTCAGCGCCTTTATTGAAGCTTTGTAAGGCAGATGAAAATAACACCAAATTGCAAGGTACAGTATGTGTCATTATCAAGTGAATTGTTCAGAATGTATAGAAAATTTTTTTGTAGGTTGGTAATTAGTACTTCATGATCATCTGGTTTTGACAATGGGTATAATGAAGTTCCCTTTTTAGCTGTGTATTATTAGGTTGAGTCATTGAAAAGATGTATAATTTTTTCTGTTATACTAATATGAGTTCTTCAACTTGAGTAGCTTCCAAGTTTATATTTTATGTAATATTCATTACCAAGAATATCTGATAATTGCAGGAAATTTGCACTCTTTGTTGGAAATACACCTCTACCCCGATAGAACGCTTTCCTTGGGAGCCAAAAAATCTTATCGCGTTCTAGGTGAAACTGCATTATATCGAACTTGCTTTGATCCACCGGAGCGCGCAGCCCCGCCCCCCCGGAGTGCTGCTTTACCGCGTTGTATCCGAATTCGTGTTATATCGGGTCACGTTATATCGGGGTAGAGGTGTAATTAGGAAGGGAAGATTTAGCAAAAATAGGGAGTCAGTGGCTGATTCTTACTTTGGCTGTTTTTTAAAATTTTTCTCCCACCAGCCCAGAACTCTGGGCCCCTCCAAACATAAAAGGCACCACTAGAAACCAAAAATTTTCAATACAAAACTTTTAGTTCATCAGTTTTTCCAGTTACCAGTCTCTTGCCCAAAGACAGATGTCACTCTACCCAGTCATATCATGAAATCCTTCATAAACGATTCTTCAGCTTCCAGCTATTCCACCTGTGAACCCCCAGACTGGCAGGTTAACAAATCCAGGTTGTTGTGGACCAAGGAGGGAAGTGAACACCAGAGTTGAGGAACTTTGATGGAGAATGCCCTGTGGCTGGGTATGGGGTTTATTTGGGCATTTAAGGAGCAGAAGATTTTGATTTGGTTTGTAATTACCAATTTTATATGACTGTCTGCGTGAAAAGAATGTGCTGCTGTTTTGGTTCTGAATGGCTTTGGCATTGTAATTGTAAAGGAAATTGGGGCCCCTAGAGTCCATGAGTTGTTTTCTTTAGAAGTGTTTGTTTAATATCAAATAAATAAGAAAAAAGCATTTATAATTTAGTTTTACATACAAAGTGATCACAAATTGTTTACGTGTATGAGTAGGAGTAATGAAAACAGGGACAGGAGTGTTTCTAACAGATAATAACGTGTATTCATATTGTTTCTAGAACAAATCTCTTCATTAGGGACATTCCCCACAAGAATATTCCTAGAAAGGGAAAAATGCCTTGCTAATCTAGCACTGTTCCAGGTGTTCACTTTCATTCCATTTAGAAGGTGATTAACCATAAGACGGTCATATGCCAAAAAATCATTTCAGCACCAACTTGCATGAGCTGAATACTATAGCGTTCAAATCAGATGCATGTCCTGCCTTAATGTGATTTTTTTTTCTTCCTCATTATATTAATGAAGATCATTAAAATCCCTTCTGCTTATGATTCTTACTATAGCTCATACCTAGCAAATTTCATCTAAGTGCATAGCATATTCTGTATCAATTAAAGCACGGGTTTATAAAACAAATACAATTCTAATTTATGACCTTTCTGTTCACCAAAATATTCTGTCTTGTTTTTTAGAGCTCTGCAAGTGGCTTGAACCTTTGAAAAATCTTAGATTTGAAATTAATTGTATCCCAAATCTCATTGAATATATTAAACAGGTTAGTAAAATTTTTGATACAGATGTTACTTTGTTTGGGAATGTGATATTAAAAGCTTTTGCCTATGCAGTCAATCTGTGCTTCCATTCTTGATGTCTCAGTCCAACATTTGCAAAGTCTGTGATTTCCATAGCAGATTGTGATGCCATTGAAATAGAAGGAAGGAGTAGGCTGATTATGTAAGAGGAAGCAGTCTTAAAAGTTGCTAACAATCTGGCAGTAATCTCTGATAGAAGATGACATACGGAATTTAATGCGACAGTTTGAAGTGTTTTCCTAAAGTATTGTATGTTTGTAAATTTTGACAGGGCTTTTTCTGCAACTGAAGAGCATCAGTATTTGGCAGCTTCATTCATGCCCATGAGTAGAACATAGACAGAGTGAAGCAGGTTTTTGAAGAGCTGGAAGAGTGAATGTCAATAAGATCCAGCTTTCTTTAATGATCCATAGCCGTTCTGACTCTTCTGTCTTTATAACAAATAATGGCTTTAATTTTTTTTTTATATTGTGATGGCTAAATAGTCTTCTGACATGATGTAGATTAGTATAAAAGGTTAGTGTAATGTATCAAGCATATCTTAGTTGAAAATTAGTCCATTGTAATATATGTTCTTTATTATTTTTTAATAGAATATTGATAGTTTGATGACACAGGAAGGAGTTGGTCTTCTTACTGCACTCCGTGTTCTTTGTCATGTTGCATGCCCGCCACCTCCTGTTGAAGGTATATTACAGATCACTTCCTGATACATAAAACCCAGTCTTCTAAGTATCTGTTATTTAATCACACCTGATAAAGTCTGATTTAAATATAATTGATATGAGATGTGTGAAAGTTAATTCCTCGTTCCTCCCCCGCGCTTTTACAGGTCAACAGAAGGATCTTAAATGGAACCTTGCAGTTATTCAGCTCTTTTCTGCTGAAGGAATGGACACCTTCATTCGTGTTCTGCAAAAGTTGAACAGCATTCTTATTCAGCCTTGGAGGCTCCATGTCAACATGGGAACCACACTTCATAGAGTTACTACCATTTCCATGGCGCGATGTACACTCAATCTCCTTAAAACCATGTTAACTGAGCTCCTGAGAGGTGGATCTTTTGAATTTAAAGACATGCGTGTTCCTTCAGCACTTGTTTCTTTACATATGCTTCTGTGTTCTATCCCTCTCTCAGGCCGTTTAGATAGTGATGAACAAAAAATTCAGAATGACATTATTGATATTTTATTGACCTTTACCCAGGGAGTTAATGAAAAACTTACAATCTCAGAAGAAACTTTGGCCAATAATACTTGGTCTTTAATGTTAAAGGAGGTCCTCTCTTCAATTTTGAGAATTCCTGAAGGATTTTTCTCTGGACTTATACTGCTTTCAGAATTGCTGCCTCTTCCATTGCCCATGCAAACCACTCAGGTATGATTTTAATTAAATTAGCAATTTAATAAATATTGTCCATACTTCGTTTAAAGATCATATTCTTGTTGAGGAGAAGACCGAGGTGAATAAAAGGGTCGATTGAGACTTATAAAAAGGGATTTGTAATCAAATAGGTTGTTTTGAGGTATATTTAATTGTTCATCAGAAATGAATTTGTGCATGTTTTGTGTTAATTTTAAACTTCCCAAATAAGTGGAGGTTTGTAGTCAGTCTTATATTGATTTTGTCTGTTATTTAACTAGCTAGTTTTCTGGTATCCCATTATATTACTTAAATTATTAACCTTGCAGCTTTTGTATCCAAAACTAGGAGCTGAAATGGCTGCATAGAGATGTTTGGACTTTTCAGTGTACATTAGTACTGGAAGAGGTGGGAGTTTTAATGTTCAATATTTGATGTTTAACAAAAGAATAAAAATAAACAGCCTCATTGTGATTGTGTTTACACTGGTGTGAGGTTAGGCTAGGCCCCAAAGGAACACCTAATCTGTTGAGATGACTATTAGTTTAATTTGCAGTTTAGGGCCAGATTCTGTCTTGAGATACATGCTTGCAAATCTCATTGATATCACTAGACTTGTGGGCAAGTATCTGAGGAGGGCAGTATTTGGTCCTGAATGATTTTCTTCTGTAAAGCAAAAATCTTTTAAAGAGCCTGTTTATACTTTTTCCACAGGTTATTGAACCACATGATATATCGGTGGCACTCAACACCAGGAAACTGTGGAGCATGCATCTCCATGTTCAAGCCAAATTGTTACAAGAAATAGTTCGATCATTCTCTGGTTCAACTTGCCAGCCTATTCAGCATATGCTGAGGCGTATTTGTGTTCAGTTGTGTGACTTGGCATCACCAACTGCTCTTCTTATTATGAGGACTGTATTGGATCTGGTTGTAGAAGATCTACAAAGGTATCTTTGTTCTCCATGGCACGAAGATTTTTTTTTAATAGTTGTTGAATTCATCCCTGTTTTCTGCAGTTATTTTCTTAGGTGAAGAACACTGAATTTTAGATACATTTTTAGTCCATTACAGACGTGGATTGAGTCCTCAATCCATGTCTGCTACAGTATCCTGTGTTGCCAAACAAGCAAACAATATATTATTTTAATGTAAAGAATTTCACATTATTGTATGTTTATAGGAAATATTTGGGAGAAATTGAAACTAAATTATGAGTAGTATTTAAAAACATCTATCTGTATATGCTTAGGTGAACTATAGTTTGTTAAATTGATAATAATGAGTTTATATGCAATATAACCATCCAAGTAATGTAGTAGTTGTGGTAGTTTTCCAGAAATATAAATTAAGATAGAAATTTCTAAATATGTTACATCAATTTTAAACATTTAAATTATGGTTTTTGCTTAAAATACAAACTTTTAAATCTACTAAAATGAAGATGGATGTACAATATAGTTAATTTAATAACTTTCTAATATGTAGGAACACTGCTTTTAAAGTGCATTGATATTGTTTCAGCAGTACAGAAGATAAAGAGAAACAGTACACTGGCCAGACTACCCGATTACTTGCTTTACTTGATGCCTTGGCTTCACACAAAGCTTGTAAATTAGCCATTTTGCATCTAGTTAATGGAACTATTAAAGGCGATGAAAAGTATGCAGAAGTTTTCCAGGAGCTGTTGGCTTTAATGAGATCTACTGGGGACAATGTTATTCATCAGCAATGTGCTGAATATGTAACATCCATTTTGCAGTCTCTCTGTGATCAGGTATTTTATACAGTTAAAATAAAAATTACTGTATTTATAAATAATCTGGTGTGTATGTGTGTGTGAGAGAGAGAGAGAGGGGAAAACAGTAGTACACAAATTCTAGATTGCTGTGGTTATGTGCCACTGAAAAGGATTTTCTTTACATTTGCAGTAGTGTCTTGAATGTTATATGTAATCTTGATGCCTTGATAATTTGAACATTCTTAATTTCTGTTCTCAGATGGGAAATGTTGTGATAATTTTATCAGTTCTTGTACTGCCCCTTAGTTTTTTAGCACATTCTAATGTTCATGTTTTGTTTTTCTTAGGGTACGAACTCTGTGATGTTTGCACTTAGGTGTCTGTTTTCCAAAAAAAAACGTTAGGGAAAATTACTGTTAAAATTTTGTGGGGAGAGTTAGATTTATATTATATGATGCAAATAACCATTGATGGCTGTTCACTGGCTTCTTTGAAATGGGTTTGTTCTAAGTGCTGATCTCAGTGAACAGGTGTCCACATATACAAAAACCACTTTTGCAACCAGAACCCTTGTTTGGCATCAGTAGAGACCAAGAACTGAATGGACATGGAGACTGAATTATCCTCTTCACATGAAGATTTTGGCACACGAATGGCATAGGGGAAGCTCACGCTGACTTTGCTTTACCTGATCAATGAATAAATAGATCTCTTCCTCCATGCTGTCAGCCTGAAGCCTCTTACAAACATAAATACTAGTCACATGCTGTTAGCATAAAATTTCAGCATTAAGAAAATCAGTCAGGTAAAAATAGTCAGTAAAATAGGAAATTTAATCTGAAAACTTCATATTTAAGAAATAGACCATTTAGGGACAAACCTTCAGTTAGGTACATGCATACATTTGCATGTGTGATTTATGTGCAGACACCTTGAGTTGTGTGTACAAAGGAGCCTTTGTGCATGCTTAGTCAGTAAAGAGGTTAATTATCCATTTGTTTTTATACATCATGTGTCTTACCTTATTTTGTGTACCATGAATTCTTCAATATGCAGGAATCAGCATGGTTTTAACCTTTCCAGAAGGTATAAGCAATTCTAAGACTTATCTCAAATTATTCATCATGGTTGATTTAACTCTTTTTTGTGACAGAGAGGGACAACTCGAATGAAAATTATATATACACTATACTTTTTTAATATTTATAAAAATATATAAAAGTGTGTGTATCTATCTATCTATTTTTATATATATAAAAAAAGCACAGTGTCCCTGTGTATGTTTGTCTCGTCAGCCCTTTCATGTTATGCAGCTCTATCTCAGTCAACACAGCAGATGTTTAACAAATCATTCAAAAACAATGTTCTAGCAGTACTCTACAGTAATATCTTAGCCAGCATTTTCATCCTATATATCTTTAACAAAACCGTAATTGTTTGTATCACTTAAACACTCCTTTTTTATTTTGGATTTCTTGTGTTGCTTACCAACCAGTAAAACAATAAACCTGACAATTTGTATTTTAATTTTGAATACATTCTTTTAAAAATCCAATACACTTTAAAGTTTCTAAGTAGCTACTGAGCAAATCCATTGTTTTCTTCATGAACATTAAAGTAAATAGTCTAAATGCATGGTCAGTGTTTACCATCTCTACACATAATGGATATTTTAATGGTTATAAAGTAGTCATGGTTTCTCTTTACAGGATATTGCACTGATTTTGCCAAGTTCCTCAGAGGGATCTGTTTCTGAATTAGAACAGCTCTCCAATTCATTACCAAGCAAAGAACTGATGTCCTTAATCTGTGACTGTCTGATGGAAACACTTGCTAATGCAGAGACCAGTTATAATTGTCTCCTGACATGTATCAGAACCATGATGTTCCTTACAGAGCATGATTATGGATTCTACCACTTAAAGAGGTACTGTTTTATAAGTGATTTTGAATGACCTTTTATCATCTAGAATTTTAAAATCAGATCAAGTTTTTGAAACAAAGATGTAGAGAGAGAATATTTTTATTCTGACATATTATTTGTATTACAATAGTGTCTAGTGGCGCCAAACATGATTGGAGGCCCACTGTGCAAACACATAAGGTAGTTCCTGCTCTGTAGAGTTTACAATCTAAATAGGTAAAACAGAAAAAGGTGGGAGGAAAATCAGAGGCACAGAGATGTGAAGAGACTTAATGACGGCCACACAATAGGTTAGTGACTGAACCAGGAATAGAGCTCAGCTGTTGTGAGTCCCAATGGAGCATTCGAGTCACTGAACTAGTTGTAGTTATCATTTTGGGGGTGGCGGTGCAATTTTTGTTTCTTGGTTGCCAAAAATATTAAGATACTAATTTCCTGTGCCAAAAGACTTCATGCTGAGAAAAACTTAAATTTTTCCATAATATGGAAAAATTTCAAGCGGGACAGTTAAGAGATAATGAGCTTTGACTAGATGGGTATTGAGCTGCTAGTAGCATCTTTTTGTTCTCTGTCATCAAGTGGTGGTGTGTTTTTAAATAATATTTCCTTAGTGAGAATGGATACACAGTGGCTGTCACGCTGCATCACAGGAGAATTTTAGTTAAATCTGTTCTACGCAGTATTCTGTTACTTCGATTATTTTCCTTATATGCAACTTTTTTTTTTAACAATGAAATAAAATGCAGCAATTGCGAGATGTGGTATAAACACTAGGTAATTCTCCCCCCCCCTTTTTATTATAAAACAGCTCTCTAAGAAAACGCAACCATGCTCTGTATACCGTATCAAAGCGAGTAATAAGTAGCTTTAGTAAGGATACAGGTGAACTGGCCTCTTCTTTTTTGGATTTTATGAGACAAATTCTAAACTCCGACACACTGGTAAGTGATTATATGTTGAACACTTTTCAAATGTTTTAGAAGCACTGCTTTTGTTACAGGTATCAGAGGTGATGTAAAAGTAAAAACTGCTGGCTCAGAAGACATTTGGCTGTGTAGTTTTGGATATAATTTTTTTCATCAATAATTTAGTGCATCCTTTATCGCTTAACAAAACCCGCTACACGTTGCAAAGAATGTCTGTTAATGAAGAGTAGAACTTTTATCAGCATGTGAAGAAAGTCTAGTTGCATTCCTCAGGGACAAAATGCAGTCTTCTGGCCTTCATATATTTTTTTCATTAATTTTACATATTCTTAATGTTTGGAATGCTTCTTTGGAATGCTTTCCCATATTTCTGTTCCTATTGTGGTATTTCTATAAGCAGTTTTCTTCATCTTGCAAATTTACTGAAGTTTAGAAATAGATTCCCTTTTATTTTTACATTAATTTCCCAATTAAAAAACACAGTTCAGATGTATGCATGCTTGTCATAACCTGTCAGAGCAATTTCAAAATACTTTGGGTGAAACGTTACAGATTTGGTTATTAACTAATAGGAGACAGTAGCTGTAATGTGGTGATAGTGAAATATACCTGTGGGAGAGAAGTTATCCGTAGAGATTTTTTTTTTTTTTTTTTGTTTCTTAAACAGAATTTGTAATATTAGGGGCATGTAAGTATATAAGACCTTTTTGCAAATTGATTCTGCAGAGTTCCTTAAGGATGGTTTCTGAGGTGATCAGTGTGATATTGTATCCAGATTTTGGATTGGAGTCTTGTCAAGATAGAGATTTGCTGTGTTTCTGAGTTTTGTTTTTAATTAAAAAAAAAAAAATCCTAAAATTAACATGTGGCTAGAAACAACCTGAAACATTATTAATGCTCTGATACAAACCTATTTTCAATGTACAGTACATGGGGAAAAAAGGAACCTCTTGATGGGATGAGCTAACCATGTCCTTCTGAGTATACTTTATTTAATGATATATTTTGTGTGGTTTTTATTTTAAATCACTAAATATAATATATATATATATTTTAAAATCTTCCTCTGAGATTTTGGTGTATTCTCTCTCCATTAGTTGAGCTGCAGTGTTATCTTTTGTTTTTGTTTACACATGTCTGGCGTGGAGATAATGGTTTCACTAGATATCCACCAAAAACTATTTTTGGAGGAAATCCAATGAATTTCCATATTGTTGTATTCTGTGCTAAAGTCTGTCTGGATAGCTGTAGGTTTTGTAATGCTGTCACAAGATCTAGTTTTTGATGTTTTAAAAAAAATTAGCTTTTGCATGTGTGTGTTTTTGTTTTTTTTTTTCCCTCCCCCCCCCCCCCAGGGATGTTGTGGAGATGATGGAAGTCTTATGGAAGTAGATGGTTCCCATCCAGCCAGAACACTGGGTCTTACTACTGCAGAGTTAAAACATTTATTACAGAACAAAGAAGAAACTCCAGAAAATTTGCTCCTTGAACTGGAGAAACATGTTTTGGTAAAACAATTTTTGAATAATCAAGTTCATTTTTTGTCCTTAACGGACCTCGCTTTACAAGTATGTATAGATGCTTGTCTACTTATTAGTAACGAGGGCTCATGTTGATGTGCACTAGCTAATGAAACGAGTAAGAATGATTTTGAGTGGTGCTCAGAATTGTTTGTATGCTGGCTTTATTATTATTTGTACTGTGTTAATGCCAACAGGCTCCAATCAGGGTTTGGGAACCCCTTGTGCTAAGACACTATTTTCACATACGAGACAATAATCCTTTCCCTTGAGAGCTTTATATATGACCAGAGATAACAAGTGAATACAACAGACAGGGAGCATAAGGTGGTAGTAAGATGATTGGTGTGCTGGGACCAGTGTATTAAACTAGCTGCCTAACCCCTGCAGAAGAAGAGCTCTGTGTAAGCTTGTCTCTCTCTCCAACAGCACTTGGTCCAATAAAAGGTATTACCTCACCCACCTCTAATAGCCACTGCAAATCAGTTGGTAGGTAAACAAAGGCTAGACTCTGAAAGAAGTGGTGACTGCTATTTGTTCTTTTTTTAAGGTACTAGGGTGCCCTCTGCTGTCCTGTCTGCTTTTCTGCATCTGTTTACTTTAGAGTATATATGGATGGATAGAATAGAATGTGCAGAAAATAGTCTGTGAAACATTTTCTTTTTAATCTGGCAAATGCTTAATGTTGACTGTTCTAAATTTTCCTCTTTGGAAAAAATGTCTGATTGTGATGTCTCTTATGCAGGAACGTTCTAAAGAAGATGACAGCCTTGAATCCTTATTGGACAATGTAGCTGGACTTCGGCAGATGCTGGAATCAGCAGGCGATCCTTGTCCTCTGAGTGACCAAGATGTAGAACCTGTTCTTTCTGCACCAGACTCTCTCCAGAATCTGTTTAATAATAGGTAAAATATTAAATATGTTGGAGGTTGAGTGTGCTTAACTTTTAAAAATGCAACAATTTATGGATTAGTATGTTCTGTGTAGGATTTAATACAGGCCTTTGTTTTCCAGGTTTTATGCTTTATATATAGTACTGTTATTAGTATATCTTTACTGTAGGGGAACAAACGGTATTTGATAACTCCTCCAAATTGAATTTTATATGATGCTAAGGTTAAGGATTTCTCCCCCAGTAGCTCTTACAAAGGTTTTTCATGCTAATTCAATGAAGGAATCCTGTTCTTTTTTCAGGCAGCCTCGCACTTAGATGAGGTGAAATTTAAATATAACACTATTGAATGATTTCATGAGATGCAATTACTACTGAAGTGTTTTTTCAGTTCAGTTTTCTAATTACTGTATTAGCTTAATCTTGTTTATAGTACATTTGCTACTCTTGCTGAATCTTATGTTTTATAATCTGCACTTTCTTGATTGGCCACAAAATACCAAACTTAAATTTCTTTGAATGTAAATGAAACCCTTGAGAGAGCACTTCTGCAAGAGCCGTGACTCCAGGAGTCCATGATACCCCAGTACAATAACCAAATACATTTACAGCAGATATTGGCCTTTAATCAGAAATACATTTGATATTCATTGCTACAGGACAACATATGTGTTGGCAGATGTGATGGATGACCAGCTGAAATCTATGTGGTTCTCACCATTCCAGGCTGAAGAAATTGACACTGATCTGGATATGGTAAAAGGCTTAATTAAAATTGAGAAAAAAAGTCATAAATGTATTCCTTGTTAAGCTGAGAGTGGAATTTGTTTATAAGACATATCAGTTTTTCTTATTGCTTTGTCAATATGTGTCTAAACAGCCTCTACAAAGAAGGGGGAAAGAGAGTAGGATTTTTGAAGCAGCTGAGGGTAGACAAGAAGAGGCCAGCTTCCACCTGACCAGCCTCAGGGCTTTTTAAGAACAGAGATAATTAAAAAAGGAGGGCTGCCAATGGGCATCAATGATGCCATCTAGGTGAGTGGCTCATTCTTTCTGCCCTTGCCCTACAATCTGACACTGGCTGGCGTCCCTTAAAGATTAATACTGCACACATTTAAGTGTATGCAGAAGCAGATAGAAAATCACTGAGGTCCTTGGAATAACTTCCAGAATAGTTAATGTACATACACAATAACCATAGATTTTCAGAAAGCCTTTGACCAGGTCCCTCCCCAAAGGCTCTTAAGCAAAGTAAGCAGTTATGGGATAAGAGGGAAGGTCCTCTCATGGATTGGTAACTGGTTAAAAGATAGGAAACAAAGGGTAGGAATAAATGGTCAGTTTTCAGAATGGAGAGAGGTAAATAGTGGTGTCTCCTAGGGGCTGTACTGGGACCAGTCATATTCAGCACATTCATAAATGATCTGGGAAAAGGGGTAAACAGTGAAGTGGCAAAATTTGCAGATGATCCAAGATAGTTTAGTCCAAAGCAGACTGCGAAGAGTTACAAAGTGATTTCAAAACTGGATGACTGGGCAACAAAATGGCAGATAAATTCAATTTTGATAAATGCAAAGTAATGCACATTGGAAAACATAATCCCAACTCTCTCTATATATTCACAATGATTCCAAGATCTCTCTCTTGAGTGGTAACAGCTAATTTAGACCCCATCATTTCATATATATATGATGGGGGTCTAAATTAGCTGTTACCACTCAAGAAAGATCTTGGAATCATTGTGAATCGTTTTCTGCAAACATCCACTCAATGTGCAGCGTCAGTCAAAAAAGCTAACAGAATGTTGGGAATCATTAAGAAAGGGATAGATAATAAAACAGAAAAATATCATATTGCCTCTATATAAATCCATGGTATGCCCACATCTTGAATACTGCATGCAGATGTGGTCACCCCATCTCACAAAAGATATATTGGAATTGGAAAAGGTTCAGAAAAGGTAAACAAAAATGATTAGGGGCATGGAACAGCTTCCATATGAGGAGAGATTAATAAGTCTGGGACTTTTCAGCTTGGAAAAGAAATGACTAAGGGGGGATATGATTGAGGTCTATAAAATCATCACTGGTGTGGAGAAAGTAAATAAGGAAGGGTTATTTACTCCTTCTCATAACACACAAACTCAGGGTCACCAAATGAAATTAATAGGCAGCAGGTTTAAAACAAAAGGAAGTATTTTTTCACACAACGCACAGTCAACCTGTGGAACTCCTTGTCAGAGGATGTTGTGAAGGCCACGACTATAACAAGGTTCAAAAAAAGAACTAGATACATTCATGGAGGATAGATCCATCAATGGCTATTAGCCAGGATGGGCAGGGATGGTGTTCCCAGTCTCTGTGTGCCAGAGGCTGGGAATGGGCGACAGGGGGATGGATCACTTGATTACCTGTTCTGTTCATTCCCTCTGGAGCATCTTGAAATTGGCCACTGTCAGAAGACAGGATACTGGGCTAGGTGGATCTTTGGTCTGACCCAGTATGGCCGTTCTTATGTTCTTAAGTTCTCTTTCTATATCACTTCTTGGAGCTTTTTGGCACTCAGGTATATAAGTTAGCTAGAGAAACCAAGTTTCTTCCTCTTTTTCATCTATTCATACTGCAGTAGTATTCAGAAATCCTGATTAGGACTGTGCTAGGAGTTGTATACACATAATAAAAAAGATAGTCCTTTTCCCCAAAGAACTTGCAATCTAAAGAAATTAAAGAAAAGTTCATAGTTACAGGCTAAATTATTTGTAAAAACTTCATTTGTCTTTCTACACATGAACTCCAAATTTCGGATTTAAAAGAATCCGTGCTGGGAGAGTATCATAGGTCAGAGTTTATTCCTGGGAGTTACTGCCTTTGAAGTTAGGCGATTGTAATGGAAACAATGACCGATCCTTAGATTTCCATACTTAGAGAAAACTATCAAATATAACTCATCTCAAACTTAATTCTCATTCATCTTTTCATAGTTTTACCTTCCTTTCTTCTTGCTAATACACAAAGATAGATATTATGTAAATAAACTTTTTCCTCAGCGGACCGTCTCTTCCTATGCCTCCCTCCTGTACAGAAGTCACACAACTGAATTTGTAAGGCTGTTCTCCAGGCAGGATATGGGCCCTGCTGGAGTGCTAATCGCAGCAGACTGTCAAAATCAAAATCTGAACCTTAGGCCCTGCCATTGCTGAGGTCCAGGGCTATACAGGTGCTGCGTCTTTTCTCTCAGGCCATATGACTTGGGTTAAAGGGGCTGACTGTGGCTTTGTACTCCTATGGGGGATTCCAGAGTAGGATGGAACCCCAGCTGAGCTCCTCCCATCCTGCTGCTGGAGCTCCTTCTGCCTCTGCTGCACTTCTCCTGTTTCAAAAATACTGACGTCTTATCCAGTGTTGTTGGTTGTGGTTATTGTGGTGTAACTGTATTCTGTTATTGCAGGTAAAGGTAGACTTAATTGAACTGTCAGAGAAAGGCTGCAGTGACTTTGACTTGCAAGCAGAACTGGAGAGATCGTTTTTGTCAGAACCTTCATCTCCTGGTAGGACAAAAACCACAAAAGGGTTCAAACTTGGCAAACACAAGCATGAGACCTTTATAACTTCAAGGTAAGATGTATTGCTGACTTTGAATCAGTATACAGTTAATGCAGTCCAGCTGAATGGGAGATACCTTCCTGTGGATAGGTAGATACTTAAAATTGTGATTGATATTGTGTACTAAGAAAAAGCTATCTAGTTAGGTAGTGAGATATTATGGATGATGCATATTTAAGAAATATGAAGAAGCAAAAACTTCTGCAGAGAGCATGCCTACAACGTTAAGCTTCATCGTATCTTGGCAGTTATGTTACACAGTTTTTAAATTATGAATTTAAACTTCTACTAAATACTAATACAGAGAATGCCCAACATTCAGATGGAATAAATTCTTAGGTCAGTAAATAATCCTGTTAATTTTGTTTTGCTGTATAGTGGAAAATCTGAGTACATAGAACCTGCAAAGAGAGCACATGTTGTGCCACCTCCCAGAGGAAGAGGCCGGGGAGGATTTGGACAAGGTATTCGACCACATGATATCTTTCGTCAAAGGAAACAGAATACAAGCAGACCACCTTCTATGCATGTGGACGATTTTGTTGCTGCAGAGAGCAAAGAAGTGGTCCCTCCAGATGGGATACCACCACCTAAAAGGCCACCAAAAGTATCCCAGAAGATATCTTCACGTGGTGGGTTCTCAGGGAATCGTGGAGGACGAGGAGCTTTTCACAGTCAGAACAGATTCTTTACGCCACCTGCTTCAAAAGGTATGTTGCTGCTTGTCTGAGGATTTGGAGTAAACGGATTACTGTCTAGGATAAAAAATGCTTCTCTAGGCTATGCTGGAGTTAAACCAAAGCTATGTTTAACTGTTCTCTGTTACGGTCTGAGTGATATTTTTGCAAAAGAATTTAGCTAAATCTTCACTCTTTGGTCTCACGCTGTTGTGTGCAACGGCTACAGGAGTGCTTGTAGCTGTAACAGAAAAAAAATTAACTGCTTTGTTACGAAATGATATGGGCATTTGTCAAATTAAGCATAACAGTACTATCAACTTTAAATGCATTTTTATTAGAAAGGCTCCCCTGTCTTGAGGAGGAGAAGAAGAATGTGCAGGGCCCCATGTTTGCAGTGATTCTCTGGCTAGAGATTCTGCTGCAGAATTTAGGCTTTCTTTAAATTAGCAGACAAATAAACCTATATTTGTGACAGTGAAGGTTGCAGCGGGATACATCCATTCCATCCAAAACCTTAAAAACATGGCAATGAGAAGTTATGGGGATAGATGTGCATTCCTTTCCACCTTTGTATTGTCTACAGCACTGTTAATATAACACTCCAGTGCTCCATAAGGCGTTCTCTTCTACCACCAACAGGTGCCCAAACTAGAACTGGGCAAGACTTTTTTTTTGTGGTGAATAGCAAATTTGCCAAAAAATGCATTTTGGGGGACACTGAAACTGTGTGCAAATTTGGTGTGAATTTGGTGAAGTTTCCACGGATTTTTTTTTCCAGAAATGCCAAAACTGTTTTGAATTGATGTTTTTGAATAATTGTTTTTCAAGTTTTTCATTTGGTGTGAAAAATTCTTAAGTTTCAGTTCAAACAAACTTTTTTTTGGTTAAGCCACTGAATTAAAAAATCAGTTTTGTTCAGCTCTAATCCAAAATCAATATGTGTACCCCAGCTTCTCCTCGCCTACCCCTCCACACAAAGAAAGGTCAAGTAGCCTCTCCCCTATCCAGAAGGAGGCAGAGATTCAACCACTTCCCAGATACAAAACCCTCAACAGCTTTCTGGGTGCCAAAATCTCAACCTCTACTCCCTTGCCAGCTGCCAACCCTCCAGCTTTGCCATTCCAGCTTCTGTAATGCAGCTGATATAAAAATACTGTGGCACATGGAAAAGTGAAAATGGTCTGGGCAGTGTTAAATTGATAAAGCATTCCATAATTGAGATTTGTGTGAATTTACTGTCAAAATACTGTACTGGTCGTATTGTTCATTATATGTGAATCAGTAAGTTAAAAACCAGGTAAGTTTCAGTGTGCTGCAGAAGGGGCTTTGCCACAAGAGTATGCAGTGGCAGAGGATAGGTTTCAACCCTACTGCTAACTGTGAGGCATCTGACAGTAGTCTAAATTAATCTCAGCCACTCGACTCTTCCCCTTAACGTTTTTCTTGGAGTCTGAGGCCTTCCGTGCCTTAAGCCTTGTTTGGCTGTGTATTGGTGACTGTTCCAGGTATTAGAATTCAGGCAGACTGTATAATATGTGGCCTCTGGAATGAGTTTCATGATGTGACTGCATCAAACCAGTAAGGTTTCTCATCCGTACAGAGCTCATTTGGAGCTTGGTATATTGAGGAAGTTCCCCGCATCTCCAAAGCATAACGGTGTGCATCCTGTTCCTTTAGGCTTGACAGTCTCAGCACTGTGTCGACCCTGTGCATATGATGTAGGCTCAAGCCATCTCTAGGTTAATATATCAGTCTCCCCATAGATAGTGCTGGATAGGCATATAGGGACTCTGAGCTCCTTGTGTCATCTAAAACATTGGGGTTGTGTGTCAATGCATTCTTGTTGTCCTATTACAGTATAATTATTCCTACTAGACTGGTCATGTACTGCAGCATACTACTAGTTAAACATTGCAGAAATTAAAATGCAGAAAACTTTGTGTTATTCAGCACCTGTTTTGTGTTTAGGAAATTACAATCGTCGTGAAGGAGCCCGGGGTTCAAGCTGGAGTGCACAAAATACCCCACGAGGAACTTACAATGAAAGCAGAGGAGGTCAAAGCAATTTTAATAGGGGTCCCCTGCCACCATTGAGGCCATTAAGTTCTGCAGGTACGTGGTATTCTTTTTACAGTACACGGAAGTGGGCGTCAAATTGTACAAAGCTCCCAGAGTTGCATTTTCTTTTTACAAATGAAGCTTATTGCTGGCACCTTGAAATACAGTAAAAGCTTTAAATATATATTAACTATGGTTCGTTAATGGTAAATCCAAAATCCACTTTAATATAAACTTTTGTTAAAATGTAATCCATTATAAATTTACAAAACTCGCTGATTTGAGTGCTTGAATTTACAATCTTAATCTTGCATTAATACTAACTTTTTTGCAATGTAATTGTTTTAACAACCCTGGTAATTGCATCTCTAGTTAAAACAAAACAATGTTTGCCTAATGAAAAAGTGATAAAAGACTAGAAAATAAATTAAAGGTCCTTTAATGTGTATCCTTATGTTTGTTCAGCCCCTAGCTCAGCAGGGCCTAATCCCTGGGCATTACCACTGTTAATATATTTTTTTTTTTTGCTTTAAGGCTATCGACCCAGTCCTCGTGATCGTGCTTCCAGAGGCCGGGGTGGAATTGGACCGTCTTGGGCGAGTGCTAATAGCGGTGGTAGCGGTGGCTCAAGAGGAAAGTTTGTTAGTGGAGGCAGTGGAAGAGGTCGTCACGTACGTTCCTTCACACGATAAAAATGAGACCTTATAGAACGGCCCAGCAGGGTGAACTTCTTATGATGATGATGACAACAAAAAGAGGCACTAAAGGACCAATTTAGACTTACTGGTGTCTGGAGACAGCGAGAGAATATTTTTGTCTGAAGAAAGCAGTTTTTGTTTGAAACAAGACTTGAAATTTCAATAAAATTCAAGACTTTTTGTGTACAATTGTATATCTTTTGTTCCCTTGAAAGAACATTTTAACTTTTTTGTGGACTTCTGTAGACAATACTGAATAAGGAACCTATGTGAATTAAGACTTCAAGGATTTCTCTTCTAAAATATTAATTGTGCCAAAAGCAAGGTACAGGTGTGCTGATTTTGCAGTAGTATAGAAGGCAGCATGAGGTTTTCTTCCCGGGTTTAGAACCATTAGCTCAGTTTCCTATTGGTCTGTTAGTTATTATAAAATGATTGAGGTACATCTTTCCAATGGTCCTAGTAAATGAGAAAAAGACTGACTGAGACTTAATATGTGAAAGAACACAAAACTTACAAATTTAATTTAGAAGTTATGGATAAACTCTGATACCACCATTACATACATTAAACTCAAACCTGTACCACTGAAATTGGCAGGAAAACTTCCACTGACTTTAGTAATAGTAAATTTAAGGCCCCGAGCGTAACTTTTAGAGATGTTATCACTCTAAGCCTGTATGTTAAGAGCTGGTGCCTATGCAGTGTTTTTGTAGCTGTGTTGGTCCCGGAATATTAGAGACACAAGATGGGTGAGGTAATATTTTTTAACTGGACCAACTTCTGTTGGTGAGAGGGAGAAGCTTTTGAGCTCACACAGAGCTCTTCCTCAGGTCTGGGAAAGGTACTCGGTGTCACAGCTAAATATAAAGTGGAACAGATAGTTTTAGCATAAGTAGATACATATTCGAAGAGACCATTTCAGGGGGAGTAGCCCATTAACACCCCTTCTCCCCCCCCCAATCATGAGGACAAAAACCAGAGGTAGTGGGCTACAGATTGTTGTAATAAGCCATAAATCCAGTGTGTTTATTAAGATCATGATTTTTAGTGTCTAGCAAAGTTATGAATTTATTCTCCAAGGGTAGTCTTTTGAAAGTGTTGTGCAGGTTTCCTTTTGAAGATGAGGACAGAGGTCAGAAAGAGTGACTGCTTTGTGAAAAGTGTTCACCTACAGGTGATGTGGTGTTTTTGTCTTTTTATCATTTTCACTTGAGAGTGTAATGATTGTCTGGTTTCACCCACATAGTTGTTGTTGGGGCATTTAGTGCACTGGATGTGGTAGACCACATTTTGTGATAGGCATGTGTGTAACCATGGATCTTGAAAGGTGTGTTTGGGGGGGAGAGGGTGTTGATCATTGTACCAGTGTACATATGTCTGCAGGTTTTGCATCGGTTGTTCTGGCACGCTCTGGTGCCACTTTGAGTTGGTGTCCTGCTCTGTGGTGAGGACGAGTTCAGTGTAGCTTGAAAGTTGGTCCAATAAAAGATATCATCTCACCTACCATGTCGCTCTAATGTGTACTAGAAGGAGATCATAGGGTGAGGTACCTTCAGTATAAACAGAAGTTGGGTGGAGTTAAATTATTCTTCGTAGCCTGCTGACTTGTGTAGTTGCGGGGAGAGCGTTTAAAAGCAGACTTTCATAAAACTAAACAATTCCCTAAGGAAGCAAGAGATACAAAACTTTTCCCTTTAATGGACACTTTGGCTTTTTGCTTGCGTAATTGTTTGAGATGTCTGAGGTTGAGATATATAATGCAAGAGGAAAAGCTTTGAAAATTAAGAGCATACAAAGAATCTGTACAAATAGTCACCTTCACGTTTCTTTTCAAGCTAAAAAACTCAAAATCAAATATATTTTGAACTCAAATGTTTACTTTTTCTGTTCATCTCCGTGGAATTTGTCCAACATAATTACTAGGAAGATAAGAAGTTAATAGCTGCAGCCCTCATTATAAAGGCCCTGTATACGTTAACCCATGGTAGACAACTGTTTGAATTTAGACTTTAATTCTCATTTACACATAGGTCCCTTTGCACTACCAGAGTGGTGTAAATGAGCGTTCATCTTAATGAGGATCAAGCCCAGTTAGTTTATACAGTTCCAGCTAAAACTGATCTTAATGTGCTTTGGTCAACCAGCAAGCATGCTGCCATTAAGCATTAAAAACTCACCACCTTCCACTCCAAGTGCAAAGCATATTTCTTTGACCTTACTTTCTCTTAACAAATACACAGCACTCTGCGTGTGTGTATTTATTTATTTTATATATATAACTACCAAAATGACAATCCACTGCCCACGCTTCTCCTCCTGGGGAGATGGAGAGAAACACATGAGAACTGTTAGTCACCTTGCTTAATTCACTAGTGAGAGGGGCTCAGATACTACAGTGATGAGAACCTATATAGAATAGAAAAGCATATTTTAATGTGTACTGTAGACTAAGTAAGAACATGTTTTAAAACATTGTTTAGTCCTATTGGCTAAGTTGCATTCAACAGTTTTCTCTGAAACCACAGAGAAAGCAAGTGTAGGAAGGGGCCTTGTATGTGGAGACACGGGGCATCATAGCTCCACAAGTTTCTATCAAGACTATTAGTTTGCACAAAGAAAGTTAATTGACAGGAACTATAGGATAGTTTAAAGTAAACTTGTTCTAATTAACTGGGCATGGCAAAAGGGAATAATTTTGTTTCACAGCTGTATATTTTAGTACTGTATAAAGTAACAGACTTCAGAAAAATGATTGAACAGTAGAATCTGAATTGTGAAAAAAGCATCAGATACTCAAGTTGATCAAGGAAGATGGAATTTTACTAATGCAATTGTAATGACTAAAACGGGTGATGTTCTAGCAAACATAGGTATTAATGCTATTTTTTTAAATTGAGGAGCATTGCATAAATATTTTGTAAAGCAGACTGAGGCTCCTTTAAACCATGGGTTTGAGGTTTTTTATTTTTTTTAGAAACTTTACAACTTACAAAACTGCAGCAGGGACGTGAGTGATTTGTTTTCAGTCAGGGGATTTGGAATGAAAAGGTAAGAAAAAGCTTCAAGTATGGAACAAACTGTAAATATTCAATTGGTTCTTAAAGTTTGAAATACAGCATGTCATGCTTGTCACTTTCAAACTAAAAAATAAAAGGCTGGTAAAATTGATCAAGGTGAACAAAATCTCAGTAAATCATTAGTCAGACTTGAAAACTGCGCAGTATGTCTACAGTTTCTTTAAACATAGTTCTAGGACTTGTAGTTGCATAGGATTTATTTAATATTTGTGGGAATTCTTTCTCAAGGTTAAATTAACTTGAAATAATGCTGTAAATGCTATGTTTAAAATTAATTTACTTGATTTGATACATTTAAATTGAATTCTTACCATGAGCAACTCAGGTTTAAAACATTAAATTCCACTTTTTAATTTAACTTGGAACTTTGTTCTCTAATTGACTAGAGCACTGGAAGTGGCTAATGCCAAAGGACCACATCAGTGTTGAATAGCAGCTTTCTTGGAAAGCAGTCCCATTAACTTCTACTAAGGAGAAAGGAGGCAATGTTACAGCAGCTAGAGTACCTAACTGTTTTTTTCCTAATGGAAATCTATTACATAGACCACCAAAAGTTCTCTTTGAATGTTCAAAGTGTTATTTATGTTCAGAGCTGAAGTGGAAACTATTTACATCAGTCTAGGTACATTTCTGCCATATAGCTGTTAGCTAATAGTGAGTGGCTTTTACTGTGCTGTTACATCTTGTTTTAATAATTAGAACATCTTTGGCTAACAGTCTGGTTCCTTTACTCCTCTCCTCATCAGTCCTGGGTAGGCAGCCGTTTAGGGATCGACAGGACAGGTAGGTTGGGTTTGCTCTTCATGTTCACTCAATTCAGCAACAGTGCTGTTAGGCAGTTAATGACTGTGGCCTGAGTCCTGAAAATATTTGCACAGGAGACGTTCCATTGAGCTCGTGTGTGAGGGAGTAAGTGCAGAGTTGGGGACTAATATTAGTTCAGGAGTGTTGCGTTTTGGACCCTAGCTAGGTTACTTGTTCAGGGCTGTAAAACAATGTAAAGTTCCTAGGCCTCAAGCTTGGCTCCTTTGTGGGGAAAAATACACAGAAACAACAGGGCTCCAGAAAGCAAGTGAAGAGAGAGTAAAAATGTAGAGCACCAGCATTCATATTTGCAAAAGTTAAGACATATCAACCATTTTGCTCTGTACCAAAGCAGTGTCCACAATCCAATTGGAGCCTTCCAAGGTTGGGACTTTTGAATCTGACAGCATCAGAATGAGACACTTTCCCTAAAGATGATTTGGTCTTTCCTGGCTAATTTAGCATGGTTAGCATGTCCCTTTATAAAACTCCAGGTGTTCCAGCTAAGGATGAAGTGTGTATGTAATCTTCACGTTTTGCATACTTTACAAACCTCTGTTTATTCTAAAGGAGCAGTGTGCAACAGATTTTCCTCTTTCTACCAGTGGCCCTAATTAAACTGTAAACAGCCAATATCTAAGGTAGAATGTTCTCTAGCAAGCTCCGCCAGTCCTTTGATACTAGTTAATGTCCGTTTTCACTGAAATATTGTCAAACTGAATTTTTTCCACTAGGCAGTTTCTAGCACAATGATGCACTCTACCCTCAGAGGGGGTAAATGAAATAAATGGTAGATTAAGATTGCTACCAGCCCCATAATGCCTCTCAGAAAAGCCAACTGGTAGATGGTGTTGATGCCAAAGCAAAGGAGTCTCTAGAAAGTTTCAGCAATAGAGTATACTGAGGCATCCTGTTTTCGTATAGTTTCCAACACAAAGGCCTACCTGCAACAGAAGGGGCCTTTAGGCCTTACTGCAATACATTTTGTGATGAGAACCCTTTAAGCAGTGGATAGCAAGTTCTGTTTATCCTGAATCAATACCTGCTAAGCAGGTCCTAGCCCCCCTCCCTACCGCACCCTAGGCACCTGCAACTTCTGAGGCCTGTGTCATCTTCCCTTCAGCATGGTTGCCTGCCTTTGCCTACACCCCAGAGACAATGGCAGCAAGAACTCCCATCTGTGAAGAGATGCAAAGTCTTTGAGTAGAGTGCTGTTTTGATCAAATGCTAGCCCTGTCTATTAATATGTCCCAGCCATGGGTCAGACAAAGGCCTTTAACTATGACCCCTATTCCTTATGTCCCTTTTAATAAAGTACCTGTCCCCTATTATAGTACTTTAGTCCCTCATTTTCCTGCATGCTGAGTGAAGTATACAGGGAATAATGAAAGCAAGTTTATTTGCATGTATGTCTCACTATTTTATTAGGCAACGAGGATACCTGATCTTTCATAATGAAAAGAGGAGAAGCAAAATGAATAACTACTTTTATGAACACTTGAGTAGCTCAACTTTTATACAAAGTGCAAATCAAATGGTTACAAGCTATCTGTTAGCTCTCTTTTAGACACAATGACATTTAGCCCCAAAATTCCACTTTTGAGCCCATTTCCCATTTTTTATTAAATGTAAAAATAATAAAAAAAAAACAACAAATTTCAGTCTAGCTTGGCAATGAACCGTGTAGCTGGAAGACATTTTAACGTTCATTTGTTAATATAAAATTTGCATAGACTTATAGGTATTTAGAAAGACATCTTTCAATGTGAGAAAACGCTGCATAAGATCCCCCCACGTACCAAGGATAAACTGTATGGGTCTATCCAAAAGACGTTCATGAGAAATGCGGAATGGTGCCAGCATTTTCCTAAGTTATCCAGGACTCCTTGGCAAATCTGTAGAGAAACACTATCAAAAACGCATCTGAGGGGAAGAGTTAGCAAATTTCACAAGGATTCTTGTGAAACGAACCCTGGACTTCAGGAAAGCAGACTTCGACTCCCTCAGGGAACGGATGGCCAGGATCCCCTGGGGGACTAACTTGAAGGGGAAAGGAGTCCAGGAGAGCTGGCTGTATTTCAAGGAATCCCTGTTGAGGTTACAGGGACAAACCATCCCGATGAGTCGAAAGAATAGTAAATATGGCAGGCGACCAGCTTGGCTTAATGGTGAAATCCTAGCGGATCTTAAACATAAAAAAGAGGCTTACAAGAAGTGGAAGGTTGGACATATGACCAGGGAAGAGTATAAAAATATTGCTCGGGCATGTAGGAATGATATCAGGAGGGCCAAATCGCACCTAGAGCTGCAGCTAGCCAGAGATGTCAAGAGTAACAAGAAGGGTTTCTTCAGGTATGTTGGCAACAAGAAGAAAGCCAAGGAAAGTGTGGGCCCCTTACTGAATGAGGGAGGCAACCTAGTGACAGAGGATGTGGAAAAAGCTAATGTACTCAATGCTTTTTTTGCCTCTGTTTTCACTAACAAGGTCAGCTCCCAGACTGCTGCGCTGGGCATCACAAAATGGGGAAGAGATGGCCAGCCCTCTGTGGAGATAGAGGTGGTTAGGGACTATTTAGAAAAGCTGGACGTGCACAAGTCCATGGGGCCGGACGAGTTGCATCCGAGAGTGCTGAAGGAATTGGTGGCTGTGATTGCAGAGCCATTGGCCATTATCTTTGAAAACTCGTGGCGAACGGGGGAAGTCCCGGATGACTGGAAAAAGGCTAATGTAGTGCCAATCTTTAAAAAAGGGAAGAAGGAGGATCTTGGGAACTACAGGCCAGTCAGCCTCACCTCAGTCCCTGGAAAAATCATGGAGCAGGTCCTCAAAGAATCAATCCTGAAGCACTTGCATGAGAGGAAAGTGATCAGGAACAGCCAGCATGGATTCACCAAGGGAAGGTCATGCCTGACTAATCTAATCGCCTTTTATGATGAGATTACTGGTTCTGTGGATGAAGGGAAAGCAGTGGATGTATTGTTTCTTGACTTTAGCAAAGCTTTTGACACGGTCTCCCACAGTATTCTTGTCAGCAAGTTAAGGAAGTATGGGCTGGAAGAATGCACTATAAGGTGGGTAGAAAGCTGGCTAGATTGTCGGGCTCAACGGGTAGTTATCAATGGCTCCATGTCTAGTTGGCAGCCGGTATCAAGTGGAGTGCCCCAAGGGTCGGTCCTGGGGCCGGTTTTGTTCAATATCTTCATAAATGATCTGGAGGATGGTGTGGATTGCACTCTCAGCAAATTTGCGGATGATACTAAACTGGGAGGAGTGGTAGATACGCTGGAGGGGAGGGATAGGATACAGAAGGACCTAGACAAATTGGAGGATTGGGCCAAAAGAAATCTGATGAGGTTCAATAAGGATAAGTGCAGGGTCCTGCACTTAGGACGGAAGAACCCAATGCACAGCTACAGACTAGGGACCGAATGGCTAGGCAGCAGTTCTGCGGAAAAGGACCTAGGGGTGACAGTGGACGAGAAGCTGGATATGAGTCAGCAGTGTGCCCTTGTTGCCAAGAAGGCCAATGGCATTTTGGGATGTATAAGTAGGGGCATAGCGAGCAGATCGAGGGACGTGATCGTTCCCCTCTATTCGACATTGGTGAGGCCTCATCTGGAGTACTGTGTCCAGTTTTGGGCCCCACACTACAAGAAGGATGTGGATAAATTGGAGAGAGTCCAGCGAAGGGCAACAAAAATGATTAGGGGTCTGGAACTTATGAGGAGAGGCTGAGGGAGCTGGGATTGTTTAGCCTGCAGAAGAGAAGAATGAGGGGGGATTTGATAGCTGCTTTCAACTACCTGAAAGGGGTTCCACAGAGGATGGCTCTAGACTGTTCTCAATGGTAGCAGATGACAGAACGAGGAGTAATGGTCTCAAGCTGCAGTGGGGGAGGTTTAGATTGGATATTAGGAAAAACTTTTTCACTAAGAGGGTGGTGAAACACTGGAATGCGTTACCTAGGGAGGTGGTAGAATCTCCTTCCTTAGAGGTTTTTAAGGTCAGGCTTGACAAAGCCCTGGCTGGGATGATTTAACTGGGAATTGGTCCTGCTTCAAGCAGGGGGGTTGGACTAGATGACCTTCTGGGGTCCCTTCCAACCCTTATATTCTATGATTCTTATTTTAATATATTCCAGGACCTGTTTACTATCTGAGGGTCACTTTTTAAAAAAACTTCTTAAAGCACCTAAGAATGTTTAAGATGTAAAAAATACAATAACTTTGCAACTAAAATGTTTACAGTAATTGCATATGTTACTTGGCTACATAATTCACTTGTCTGCTACTAATAAAGAAAAGAAATCTGCCATGCAATTGTGATGTTAGGCTAACCATCTGATAACACACATGAACAATTATGATTGAGATGAAAATTTAACTTAATATTAGAATCAGCCTAACTAAAATAACATGGGTGCTTACAAGCAAACTGGTACATTGCAACTCAATTAAACAGCAGATATAGGGTTCTCCTGAAAGTCTTGCATTCAGAAGTCCTATTGAAACCAACAGGTGCTCATTGAACACTATTCTACTCCTACATTTCAATAAAGAAAGCAAAAATATGCAGCAACAGCAATCAAGTCTGGCTCACTAGTTGTTCCACAGGAATTGTATGCTTCTATGAAAAAAACTGAGCTGGATGGGTGTATGGGAATTGATGGTGCAAGAGCCAGAGAGGGCTGTGTCTTACTTAAATGGAGTCAGCACATCTTTCAAATTATTGGACTAGCTGGATTAAGTGAAACTACAATGTACTAAATAAGATTTGAGAAAGATTAGTGATATCCTCACGTCTTAATCATTAAGTGCTAATTCTGCTTCTAAGACAGACTTACTGCACTCACTAACATTCTACTTGTTTCTTTCGGTATGTTGTTAGTATTAAGTTCAGTAGGGGGAAAAAAATAACCAAAGCAGGCATGGAGACTTGCATAAACCCTTGTAACATCATGGGGTTCTCTTTCATCATACATATATTTCAGATGTCTGGCTGGTGGGTTTCACCCACATGCTCAGGGTCTAACTGGCTGCCATATTTGACCTCTCCACATTTCTAAAAAGTGTCCTTCAGTCCTCAAATGTAAGAAACCCCATGATTCAAGATCCGTGGGTCTATTAGTGCCATTGTATAGTTCCAGACTTTAGTATCAATATAGAAGTCCACCTGATCATATGTCCTTTGTATAAAATTGAGGTCTGTTGTGGGTAAAACAACATTCAAGTAGTTTTTGTCATACCTGTCAAAAGAAAATTAAAGATGTTCAACAGGTGCTTTTAATAAGGTTTTAAAAAGACGTATATCTTTCTACAGTCAGCAGTATTAAACCTTTGAGTCCTTGTAAAAACAGCTAATAGATTGCTCACACCAAGGAAATGTATACACAATTCACCCAGACTGTGATAACAAGCAGGACTCTGAATATGCACTAATCTTCACTATGTAATGCAAATATTATAAAAGCGTTGGAGGTGCAAGAAAGGACAGTAACCGTATTTAAGCAATCCTGGTCAATATAAATGCTTACAAATTTTCAACATGAACAGGTAATCTCCTGCAAGCTCCTTCATGATGGAAACAGATGAAGGAGAATTCACAGCTTGGCAGTGAGACTGCATTGCTAAAATTCTGCACTATCAGGGGTTTTGGTAACAGCTAGCTTGATGAAAAACTAAGAAGGGGTTGGAGATTAAAGAAAAACTGCCGAATACTTTAAAGCCCAAACTGACCTAGTTTAAAGCTGTTGTATGCTGGTGGCAACTGTCTGGAATTAAGAATATTTAAGCCATCATTCCTTTGTGAAGTATGGTGTTTTTGTAGGACACAAATACCTCCAAATTTGTTCATTTCCCCTGCTGGCTTGACTGAAGTACTTAAATACTATTCCTAGAATTAGTCCTATTCTTAGAATACATTCCAGCTGCTGTCATCATTATGCTTATACACAAGTGAGAAAAATGAGGGGTCATACACCAGCTTTAACTGTGCTGAAATTGCAGTAGCAGTGAAAAAAAATTTCCATGTCACCTAGTTGACGTTCTAGTTTCCAGGTCTGTAAGGAGGTTGTTGTAAACAATCCGGGGAGGACTATAGAGTAAGAGCTCCTGGTATACGAAAATATTAGTTGAAAATGTCCTTTTAAATGCCTGTTGTAATACCCAATATACTATTAATGGACCTTTAAAAACTAATATTGGGCCTATAACTTCTCCCAAATACCTAAAAACTAGTTTTACGATTTGTATAGTATGCAAAGTGGGCTAGATATAAAAACTTGTGTTTTCCCCCACTCTTTTGGACCCATTTGGAATTTAGATAGAAAAGAGGTCATTTAGAACTAATACAACATTTGCTAACTGTTCACAGGAAGCAGAATCCTGTATGTCTGTGAACTTACTTCTGTTTAGATGACTGTAACTTCCCTGGGTTTTCGTTTCACACTCTCCAGTCGTGTCAAGGGGCGAAAGTTTGTTGATTTCTTGTTTCCTTCTGTATTATTTAATCGGCAGTCTTTCTGTAGGCCTTTCAGCAGCTCCATTAATTCACGCTTTTCGAGCTCTGCTTGCTCCAGCTCTTGACGATGCTGTCTCTCTGCAGCCATAAGGGAGCGCACCTCAGACATCATTCGTGACATCTGACTCTAAAAAGCATGTGTGAAAACAGACTAAAATAAGAGATCATATAAATACATTTCCAATAATGGTGGTATTGAAGCTGAAATGACTACTGTATACAGGAGAAGAAATAATGAAGACCAGGCACAGCTGAAAGAATCTGCAATTTTTGATAAACCACTAAACAAACTTAATTTTGCTGGTAAGAGCACAGTTTTTGCTTGCTGTGGCACTCATTTCAAATATTCCAGCCTGCGAGAGCCACGAGAGACAGCGAAAATCCAACTGATCACAGATGTACCACTGGATTTCACTGGCTGCTGGTTATGTTCTGTATCTCAAAACCCAAATGAACATTATTCCAAAAACCAAAAGTGTTCAGGACAGAGCTGCGTGACTTACTTGCAGATATGATCTTCAATATTTTAATTCAAATCCAATACGACGAAACCTTAAAACATACAAAGGCTCAACTGTCTTGCGTTTTGATGATTATTTTTTTCCTGTTACAATATAAAAGCTGGTTGAATGGATTAGATAATACATTCTCTCCCCACTGCTTTTTACTTTGGCCTTATCACCACTGGGTTTTGAAGAAAGTTAGAACAGAGTCTGAACACAGCTCTAGCTAAACTGGTTTCATATGGGGCCCTGATCCAGCAACTGGATCCATGTGGGCAGCAAACCCTTACTTGCAGTGATGTGTCTTGTATTTAAAGCGCCCAGACTTAAACAGATGCTGCATGTTACAATTTGGGGAATACCACTATGTACAGCTTAAAGAACAGGAGTACTTGTGGCACCTTAGAGACTAACAAATTTATTAGAGCATAAGCTTTCGTGGGCTACAGCCCACTTCATTGGATGCATAGAACGGAACATATAGGTACAGCTTATGAATCCTGTTTGATACTGGGGACTCTCTCTGCACATCTGTCAAACTGCAAACTCCATTTGGAATGTGCGCCTTGTTTGCCTTCTTTCTGCTGTCTTTTGTTTCCATATTGAGCTAAAACCCACAAAAGGTGACGAGAAATTCTTGCAACTTGCACAGAGCTAACAATGGAGGGTTGTTCAGCTTTGACAAAGAGATGGCTGCTGCCCCAGGCAAGCCAACTCTGAACTCCAGGGGTGTGGTAACTTAGCAAAAGATGTGGGGGGCTGATCACCTGACAAGGTGATGGGTGGGTCACCTGACACAGGGGACTGGAGGTTATTAGAAAGAAGGTCTGTCACCAGCCACTGGAGAGAAAGGAAGCACACTGCAGCAGGGATCAGAGACAAAGACAAACTCCATCATCCAGCCAAGAAGCCATGTGGAATAGAGGAAGGATCCTGGACACCAGGATCTGACCTAAGCCCAAAGAATGCTCAAGAGTCTGAGGAAGGGAAACATGGATAGCTATTTTATTATTTTGTCTAGATCTGTATATTTCCGATACTATCTAAAGTGAACAGTGATTGGTTTTGGAACCTTTGCAAATTCTGCAATGTATGGGTTATTCCCCTTCCATCTGCATTTTCTGGAGCTGTTTCAAAGTTGTCACACAGCCCATGTTAGCCACATCTCCTTCTCCAGCCTGCTGGCAGATTTTCTGCGTCTACAGCTGCAATCAAATGATGGTTCACCTTGCTCCCAACTTTTCTTGACAGCTTATTATTTTATTCCTGGACACAGGAGCAATAGAAACGTTTCCCTCAGAAGATTCTTATACTATACTCAATTTTCTTCATTGTTCAGAAGCATATGGGGACACAGAGCTGTCCTAGATCTCAAGCGACTCAATCAATGGATGAAGAAAGTGAGATTCTGGATGGAGACCCTAGCTTCAATGGTAGCATCCCTGTCCAAGGGGACTTCCTTGCTTCTGTGGATCTAGCAGATGCATATCTCTACATTCCCATATGACTACACCACCACATGCTGCTGAGATTTATGTACAACACAGCCTGCTATCAGTACCAAATGCTCCCATTTAGCCCCTAGGCTCTTTACCAAGATGCCAGACTCAGGTCTCAAGGCACGTAACTGTATCTCTTCCTAGACAACCCTTCCAAAACTACAGCATAGTCATTTTAGATTAAATCTCAGGAAAAACTTCCTAACTGTAAGAACAGTAGGACAATGGAACAAACTGCCGAGAGAAGTTATGGAAACTCCTTCGCTGTAGCTTTTCAAAAAGAGGCTGGATAGCCATCTGTATTGGATGGTTTAGACACAACAAATCCTGCATCTTGGCAGGTAGTTAGACTAGATGACCCTTGCAGTCCATTCTAACCCTATGGTTCTAGGATTCTACCCATCATTAGACAGATTCCACAAGGTCCAGAACCTGCATGTTGGTAAAGTGTGCAAGTCCACCCATAACTCAATATTTACAACTACGGGGCCTCCTGGTTTCAAATATAGGAATCGCTCTGTGGGCAAGGTCCCATATCAGGTGCCTTCAGGTTTTTCTCCTAAAAGCATGGAACCATTCACCAGAAAACATGCAAGATCAGTTCCCAACCAGATGATGAACTCTCTAAGATGGTGGACAATCCCAGAGAATGTCTGCAAGGGACTTTCCATATGCCTTCCAGACCCACAAGTACTCACAGCCAATGCCAGCCTAATAGGATGGAGAGCACATCAGGGGAACAGAACAGTACAAGGCACCTGGAACCCCATGCGAAAGGAACCAGGGCATTAACCTATTGAGGCTCAGAGCTCTCAAGCTAGCCCAATGGAGGTTCCAGAACTACCTAGAGGATGAAAATATTTTGATCTGGTTGGCCAACATGACCATTGTGCCATATGTCAACAATCAAGTGGAAACAATGAATATAACTCTACACGCAGAAGTGATGGCCAGAGAACTCCATAAGAGCAAAACACTCAAAAGGATAGTTGAACTAAAAGGCAGACTGACTCACCAGATGTACTATCAACTCCTCAGAGTGGTGCCTGAATCGGAAAATCTTTACTAGGATTTCGCAGAAGTTCATCCTTCTGGCAGTCAACCTATTCGCCAATCACAAGAAGACAAGGCAGCCAAAGTACTTCATCAGGGAAGCAGGCCCCGAATCCCTGGGGATGGTTGTTTCTTTGCACATATGGCCGCAAGGCCTTCTATATGCCTTCCCATTTCTGAAAATGGTGATCCAGAAAGCAAGGTAAGACCAGAAGAAGCAAAGGTGACAGTGCTACCACCACGCTGGCCAAGCAGATGCATGGTTCTCTGATCGGAGAGAACTGAAATTGGAACTACCACTGTAGCTACCAGTGAGACCAGACATCCTTTAACAAGGCCCATTACTCTATCTAGAGCATCTACAACTGACAGCCTGCTATTAAGAAGGAAGCATTAGCCACACTAGAACTATCCTTCAAAGAGAGGGAACAACATTCTCCTCCAAGTGAGCTTCAACCCTAAAGACCTGCTCCTCTATCTGAACTAGGTTTAGCTTGTGGTATCATTAACAACAAAAATCCGAAGGATCCTGATATCCCACTTAGTCTGGACTTTCTTCAGAAAGGCACAGACAAGGAACCAGCTCCATAGTGCCTGGTGTCAGCTGTAGAAATGTCCTATTCACCACATCCTCTGATTCCTTGACAGAGAACTCTCAGATATCTCAGAGTACTCTGACTGACTAAACTTGTGGTTAAACCAATCTTTCCAAAGGCCCTAACAACGCATCCTTTTGGGCCACTGACATCAATATCTCCATTCCACCTATCTATCAAAACTCTTTTTTTCAGGTCATCATTATGTCTACTAGACGAGTTTCTGAATGGGCAGCTCTAGCCATGCAGGAATGCCACTGGGTGTTTCATGATGACAAGGTGGTACTAAGAATATTAGAATAGTTTTTTGCCTAAGATGAATTAATCTTTTCATGCCAAACAGGAGATTGTCCTCCCTTCATTCTGTCCAAAGCCACAGCTCCCGACAGAAAAGCTGTGTCACATGTTAGACAAAAAGAAAAGGAGTACTTGTGGCACCTTAGAGACTAACCAATTTATTTGAGCATGAGCTTTCGTGAGCTACAGCTCACTTCATCGGATGCATACCGTGGAAACTGCAGCAGACTTTATATACACACAGAGAATATGAAACAATACCTCCTCCCACCCCACTGTCCTGCTGGTAATAGCTTATCTAAAGTGATCATCAGGTTGGGCCATTTCCAGCACAAATCCAGGTTTTCTCACCCTCCACCCCCCCACACAAATTCACTCTCCTGCTGGTGATAGCCCATCCAAAGTGACAACTCTTTACACAATGTGCATGATAATCAAGTTGGGCCATTTCCTGCACAAATCCAGGTTATCTCACTTGATTATCATGCACATTGTGTAAAGAGTTGTCACTTTGGATGGGCTATCACCAGCAGGAGAGTGAATTTGTGTGGGGGGGTGGAGGGTGAGAAAACCTGGATTTGTGCTGGAAATGGCCCAACCTGATGATCACTTTAGATAAGCTATTACCAGCAGGACAGTGGGGTGGGAGGAGGTATTGTTTCATATTCTCTGTGTGTATATAAAGTCTGCTGCAGTTTCCACGGTATGCATCCGATGAAGTGAGCTGTAGCTCACGAAAGCTCATGCTCAAATAAATTGGTTAGTCTCTAAGGTGCCACAAGTACTCCTTTTCTTTTTGCGAATACAGACTAACACGGCTGTTACTCTGAAACCTGACATGTTAGACATTAGAAGAGCACTGAAGATGATGCCAAGCATACCAAATTGACAAGAAGATCAGGCTCCTAATTTGTCTCCTTTCATCTGAAATGCCAAAGGCCCAGGGTATTCAAGCTATCACTAGCTAGATGGATCAAGCTATGCATTATAAAGACATCAAGGCACACTCCACAATATCTATGATGACTTTGTGGGTGGAAAGAGCTTGTGCTTCCACGGCTGAGAGCTGCAGGGCAGCAATATGGTCATAGGTTAACACATTTAGCAGATACTATAAATTGACTTTCTGGTCTCTGTGAAGGTCTTCTTTGGCAGGAAGGTGCTGCAGGCACTGAGCCAGGAATAGCATTGCCATTCTGGGCAATTAACTCAAGGGGGAATCTTCTCTCTTTTTTTTGTCTTATCCCCCCTTATTTCTGTTCATTGTTTGTTAATTTCCGTATGTATCAGAATTGCAGGAGATACTGAGCTGCAGAATGGTAAATTTCTTACCTGTTAATTTCCTTTCTGCTAGCAGCATCTTCCACAGTTCTACCCTTCCTGGTTGGCTTCCTAGCCAGGAGACAGTATTTAATTTTGATGGTTATGTTTATAGGCTGTAGCCCACATTGTCTAGCACTGAAGTTACTGTTACTAATCATATTCTACCAGTTTTTACACAGCTTTGGAATGAATCATCTGTCAGCAGGCTGGATAAGGGGGCATGGCTCGCACAGGCTGTGCTACCACTTTGAACTGCCTCCAGAAACTGCAGTCAGGCGGGGACTAGCCCATACCTCTTATAATTGTGGGAGATGCTGCTAGCAGAAAGGAAATGATCATCAGGTAAGAAATTTATTAATTTGTGAGTTTCAATTATCACAGGTCTCTAAAGAGTTGAAGTGTCTGCTAGAGTGCCCATAAAGTGGAACCGTGAGCAAGGATGTGCTTCATATACCGGGATATCTTGGGGTCAGCACTACCTGTAGGGGCATAGGGTAGCCGGACCCCTAGATTCCAATTCTCCGAAGGGGTAACTGACAGAAAACCTGTGCCAGAAAGGTCAAGAGAGAGACTGTGTTGGAGTCTACTGAGACCTAGGGAAGCATAAAAGCACACGGCCACAGCATTTGGGCCCAAAACAGCAGCCTGGTGAGTGTCCAGCAGGGGAGCTTTACCAGGCCACGACACTGCAATTATTTGAAAAGGATAGGTTCAGACCATTGGACTGTAGGACTGTATCTTCTGTAGTGAATTAGGATAACAAACTCCCCACTACTTGAAAAAGCAAAAAAGCTACACTGTTGGGAGAGGGGAAGAAAACAAAAACACATTTCTACAAATGACACTGGAGCTTATTTACCTTTAGTTCTTCAATTTCATTTTGCAGAAGACTCTCTTTTTGAACCATATGCCTTCTCTGTGAATCTAATCTGGACTCCATTTCATGCTTTGCCTCCTCCACTCTGCAGATCATTTCTGACCTAAAAAAGTGTATTTTTCCTTTTTAAACCTAACCATTATACCTGTGACTTTTAAGTACCAGAGTGAACTACTGCTGCCAAATAGTCACATCATTCCTGAATACAACTGGATGAAATTTTTCAACCAACACTTTTTTCCTCAGGAGAAAAAAAATGCAGATTCAGGAACACCAAAAGATTTTGCAAATTCATGGTGATTTCACTGAGTTGCTTCAGTAAAGAAAAAGAAACACTGAAGCAAATTCTCCCCCCAAAATCAAAATGTTTCATTTAGACAGTTTCTAGATTTAAACAGAAAAATTGAAACATTTAAACTACCTTTTCTTTAGAGATTTCCTTTAATTTTATTTAAAAGAATTAAAAAACATAAAAAAATGTTCAAAATTAAAACAAAAACAAAATGAGTTTTTTTTTTTTTTAAATTTGGAAATGCCAATGAACCCCCAAAATTCGTGATTTGCCCAAATTTAGTCCTAAATTGAAGCTCTGCTATTGTCTTGTGTTACACAGCTCTCCAGAGGTAATATGAGATATTTAGCATGTTTTACCAACAGACAGTATTCTTGCTCAGTATGTACCGATTTAGGGGTTTTAATCTCTCGATAGAATGTGCAAGTTCTACTCCTGGCATCAATATCAGAGATTCTTGGTGTTCAAATCCTATGGCGTTGGGCAGCGATACAGAACTCCAAGATAGATGTTTCTGAAATAATTCCAGAAGCTATAGACTAACTTTTTTTTTGGCTTTGGATGGTTTATTTCCTTTCATCCAAACATATAACTGTCATTTTGATTAATTTTATTTTAAGAGTATATGGTAACTTTGTGCAGTAGTTTAGGAGAAATGTAATATGTTTCTCAAAATACAAAGCATGAATGGGCCTCAGTCTGTGTCATTCCACTTAACCCAAGGAAAATGGAATTCTGAAACAAGGACATAATATAGAGAGCTATAGGTTAAGCTCAGGATAGCATACCATCTAGCAGCATTTGGATCAACACTTGTTGGTTTATCATGGATGTGAAATGACAGTAGTTGTGGGAGAAGGAAACTAGTATTATTTAGTTATTAAACACAGCCATAGCCAAAACTGAAACATTAACAGGTTAACCGTTTGAGTTTTGAGCAGCAGTTTGGCATTTTATTGGTATCAGGAAAGTTCACTTGTTTCCTGCTGCACTTACCAGGAACTGAACCTGGGTCACCAGCAAAGTGCAGGAGAGCTGGGGCCTCCATTGACCAAAGGAGCAAGAGAGAAGGTACCAGCAGGATGGGGTGGGAAGAGGTACAAAACTGCTGGAAGATCATGGAAATGATAAACTGGAAGAGGGAGAGAGGCAAGAAGAAAGAAGGGAACAGACAGAAGGTAAAGACGTATACTGATAAGTATTAGTAGTTTTCCAGCATTTTAGGCACAAGGACAAGCTTGAACTCGTAGGTCACCAGCCTCTCATCTCTGATAACTTTATAACTGCCAAATATAATCAGAGTTTTTCATCTCCAAAGTGTTTTTAAAATCTTAAATAATAAATCTTACTTCATAATTTGGCTCTGGGTCCATATCAGACGAAGGTAAAAAGTGAAAAGGTTAAATGCACTCAGTCTAGTTCTTTGTAAGTATTTCACGCTTTCATGTAACCATCACATAATTTTGGATAATTGCAATCCCTATTCATTAGGGTTCTGGGCTAATCAAACTAATTCAACTAACTCAGACTAAAAAGTACAGTAAGAGTTTAAAGTGTGTAATGGCTTTTCAAAAATATCCTTACGAGTTAATACCAAGTGATTTACACATTATCGGTTAGATATCAGACTTAAACAGAGCTAGTAGTTGGACCTGTCTTTTATGTGCAGTGATTTTAGGCCCAGGTTAAACACAAATACTCAGGAAACAGAAGTAGTATTTTACCGGAGCAGTTCTACTTCTGTTCTTAGCTCTGCTACACAATTATGCTGCGTGTCTTCTGCCCTGAAAATGGTGTAACCACAACCATTAGGGCATTCACGGCTCCGGTATTCACACACTGCCAAATGGCCATCTAAGTTACGTCGTTCAATCTGAACTGGACAACCTGAACAGGAAACAGTAAATTAAGACAATATTAAATCACTGCAATTAACAGAAGCATAGTCCATTCCAGGCAAAAACACCCAAGCAAGCAAACAAACCACAGTGCACAGAACTGATCATATGCAAATATGTCAAAAGAAAGTGATTCCCTTACAGCATGAAGAGATACACCTACAGATCCCAAAGCCTTGTCTACGTTAAAACTTTTTGCTCAAGTCTCTCGTCATTGCTCTAACCCTGGTGGTAACACTAATGTAAGACATGGATAGTAGAAAAAATACTGGCAGCTGGCCTACACTATGCTCTCACCAGCCCTACTCCACCACCAACAGCAATGGTTGGAGATATTAAGAAAAATGCCAGTTTAGACAAGGCTTGAGTATCAAAAATTTGGCACCCAAGGTTAGAGAAAATTTGGACCTTGGCAACTTCTCCAAGATCACAGAGCAAATCAACAACAGAGCTGGGACTAGAACCAAGTTCTCTTAACCACTACACTTGTGCCCTACCTACTAGTAGACTAGTATTTCTCAACCAATGGGCCGTGACTCCTGAAGGGTGGGGAACAAAAGGAATCAGGAGCATTGTGAGGCCATTAAATTTTATTTACAGTTCTAAAGCAAGGCGGGGGGGGGAGGAATTTAAAATAACTTAAGGATGTCAAAAGCCTTCAAAGTCTGTGAGATCAAATGTAGTAATAGTATACATTTTTACTCTTACTTTTATAGTAAATTTAAATAGGTTGTGCACATTTCTGACTTCAAATAATGGGTTGCCTACCTGACAAGTCTGAGATAAAAGGCAGCATGATCAAGTGCAGTGTATTGCAGACAGGCTGGTAAGGACAAGCAGAAAATATCACCTAGTAGAGGTGGCCTAGCTACAAGCACAAACAAAAATGTGCCATAAAAATCTTGCAAGTGGTAGGTTTCAGAGTGTGTGCACTTCTGATTAAGACAAACACCTATATAATTTAATAAAAATATTTTGCACTTTCAGATCACCTTCCACTGGAAGATCTCAAAAGACTCACAACACCTCTCTGAAAGAGCTATTACTCCCATTTTACAGATTAAGAAACACACAAATGTAAATAACTTGCCCAAGGCAACACATCAGCAGCATAACTGGGAGCAGAATGCAAAAAACCTTATTTCTTGTCCCATATTAAGCATCAAACAGCAGTTTATCAGATATATACTTAGCACTACCTACACTGGCTAAAGTTTGAGATACCTTCTGGAAAAGGAGCAAAGCAGCAAGTTATAGTGTAATTCTGTTTAATATAATAAATGTTAAATTGGCCAAAAAGATGGTTCAATCATCACATGCAAAAAACCACAATCAGATGAGTAATAAAAGCTGAATATTAGACAAATTCATACCTTGGCAGAAAGCAAAACCCATGCACTGCTGTGTATTCTGATAAATTAGGGGTCCAGTATTCAAATTCATTCTGGTTAATTTTCACATGAAAAAGGAAAAACTGATGATGGATGACAATCATCATTACAACGGAGAGCAAATCCACTGTCTAAAAAAATTTCTGCAAACTCTCAACCGCTGATCATTGTATTATCTTTTTAATTTTTATTTGGCTCTTTTTTTGTTTTGCTTTGCTTGTTAAACTGAAGCAACCATATTGCAGAGGCCATGTCTGTGTAGGAATGTGCAAGCAGAAGTACCTACCTGCCTGCCTAAAGAAAGCTTACTTCAATCTTTTTGGTCTAGCATGAATATGGTCTAGAACTCAGAAATTCACGATGTGGAACTCAACATAGAAGTGAATGAATGTCCATTGCTGCCACCCTACTGTGATTAAGTATGACAGATACAAATTTTCTGAACAAAAGGCTCAACTTTGAACTTGACTCACCAGCATTTGAGCAGGGTATCTGGCTGTATTCACATTCTCTCTCATGTCTGTCTATAGATTCTAGAGAACAAACCATTTCACAACCACGCTCTCTGTTTTTGCAATGAAGCTGAAGTCGATTTAGATCATTTTTCATGTATCTATATACAGAAAAGAGTTACTTTGTTGTTTCTTCTTTTTTAAACTCCTGCAACACTGTAAAAGTGTTTACTTTTGCCACATTTCAGGGATTCTATCTTCCACAAGGAAAAAAGTCAAATGCTCCGTTCAAAATATTTCAACATTCAAATAACTACACTTGATGAAAGGGGGTTGGGAGGGTGAAAGCTGTGATGATGGAATATTAAGGTTCAAAATTAAATATGCAAATTAGTTCATGAAGAATGGCTATTGAGAGGTCACAAAACTAAGATTTTAGCACTAACTAGGGCAGGAGTGGGCAAACTTTTTGGCCAGAAGGCCACATCTGGTTATGGAAATTGTATGGCGGGCCATGAATGCTCATGGTTCCCGGCCAATGGGAGCTGCGGGGGTGGCGCTTGGGGCAGGGGCAGCATGCGGAGTCCCCTGGTTACCCCTACGCATAGGTGCCAGCTGGGGGACATGCTGCTGCTTCTGGGAACCACGGCACATGTGGAGCAGAGCAAGCCCTGGACCCTGCTCCCCGTCGGGAGCTCAAAGGCCAGATTAAAATGTCTGAAGGGATAGATGCGGCCTCCGAGCTGTAGTTTGCCCACCCCTGAAACTAGGGGCTTGTGTACACTTAAAATGTTAGTGGCACAGCTGTACTGCTGTAGAGCTTCAGTTGTGGACACTACCTATGCTGACAGGACTTCCTCCCCTACAGGCGGAAGAATTCTCCAGTCCACCTAATGGTGTCTACATGGGGACTAATGTCAGCTTACCTATGTGGCTCGGGGTGGGATTTTTCACATCCCTGAGCGACAGTTATATTGACCTAATTTCCTAAACCAGGCTTTAGAAAAATCCCTTCAACAACCAGATTTGTTACGTACCTGTAGAGAGGTCGTAGCACAGACATATCAAGTGCTTGTCTGTCTTCAGGGCAGTTATTGTGATGAACAAGCCAGCCATGTATACAGGCAGTACAGAAAGCATGTTCACAAGGAGCCTGTAAAGGATCTTCTAATACATCTCGGCATATACAGCATAAAAGTCCTTCATTAACATAGCCAACAAACCGCTCAATATCATAACCCATTCTTTTCCACAGACTTTCCACCTGTTATAATGTTAAAACAGCAGTTAGTAACTGATTGACAACTAATTATTTAGCACTGACAGAATGCTTGGTGCTGCACGATACACAAAAGTAAAGAAAGGTCCTGCTCAAAGAGCTTTCTATCTTGAAAGCAGAGACATTGGTAAAAACAGAGAGGATTAACTTAGTAGGTTCTCTCTCATTTTGAATTTATTACAAAATGTGATTCTTGTGGACATTGTGAAAGATAGCAGTTTAATTCTGCATTTGCACAATGTTTTTGAGAGTATTTAGAGAATAACTGAAGATTTATTCTGTAACTGAAAATTTAAAGATGAATTACAGAAAAAGCGCTGTTCAAATGTCAGAACTTGATTTCTGTTTCTTTACCTTTATTTGTATAAAACTCTGCAAATTTGTAAAACAGTGTTTTTACTGATAGTATTGAACACCCTTGAGTACTTCTTATCCATATGATTTTATCTATATCTGTCAACCACAGGTAACTTAATTTGATGTATGTTTCTTCTTATGCTCGTAAGAAGAACTATTAATAACAACCCATCTACTGAATGAGGTGGGAGTCTAGAAAAAATAGCGTATGATCCTGTATGTACAGACTGTACCATAATGCATATGCACAAGGAGCCAAATTAAGGTTGCACAGGCAGTGGTGCCCTCAGCTCCTGTACATGGCACCACAGCAGCTGCAAACAGCCAAGAAGAGTAACTACAAAGGAAGTTCTGCTTGGACCCTGCAGCCCTGGACTGAAGCATGCTCCGTGCAGGTTGCGAAGTATTCTTGCTGGCTTTTTGAGGCAGCCACAGCCTATAGGTGTTTCCACTTGTCTCATGAGCTGCCCCCTTTTTTTTTTAAACTGTGCCCCCTGGGGTTTCTTTTATGGAACCCCCCCAACCCAGCATCATGGTGCAGAAATTCAAACCCTACCCCCTGCTTATATTTTCTGGTTTTCATGGGTTTTTCCTGTTGTTTAGGCTTGTTCTGGGGCAGTTTTGAATCTTTGGTTTACAGACAAACTCTAACAAGCCTCTGAGTTTGTGCAAGCTGCAGTTTTTCAAATCATATAACTACACCAAATTTTCATGGTGATGGCAAAAGACACATCCCTGACATCAGGCTGACCTCCTTCCCGAAAAAGTTTCAAGTCCCTGCTCTAAAGCATGGAGGTACCAGAGCTCCTCAATAAAACAGATGTTTTGCCCATATTAAAAATAGTTACAATTTATTTTTCCCTAACTTCTTTCTAAAAAACGGCTGAACTATTTTAGCTGAACTTTGCTCAAAAAACAGCCAGAGGCACACACACAGCATAGAAAATTTCAGCCCAAATGGTTTAAGTTTGGAAAAGTTATAACCACCTGAAAACAGGGTCTTAGAATGGAAAGTCTACGGGGCAATGTTAATTATAACCAACAATGACAGATGTGGAGCTATTCTGTAATTTATGAATACTGTATGTTGACAGGGTTATTGGGATGTTTACTTTACTTTATAAATATTTTGGTTCAGTTTAATAAGGACTGTATGGAGCAACATGCAGGAAAGAAATAGAATGGCTTAAGATAAGCCACTTCTCCACAAACCTTTGAGGGTTGTTAAAATGAAAGCCAATAGCCGAAAAGGCCAATGGACAGCAGAGATCAAAAAGACTGTAGCAGTTTAAAAAGGGCTCTCTCTCAAGGGGGGCTCTGGAAACAAACTAGAGTACAAGTACGGGGGAGGGGAAGGAGAGAGGAATCTGAAGAAGTTAGTCCTGTATAGGTTACTATCAGGGCATGGTTAGCTTTTATGTAAGACAGAAGTGTGTAGACTGTTTTAAAAATCTGTTTTCTTTAAATGGTTTGTACTGTTAATAATAAACTATACTTTGGCTTGAAGAAGTCTGTTTTGTCACTGGATACCCCTGGTCACAGACCCTTGATAGGAAGGACCACAGGCATCAGAAGTCAGTTGGACTTACTGGGTAAGCATGGTTGATACCGTCTGTACTGTAATTCAGGGCCTGGTCTAACAGTGAGAGAATTGCAGAATTCCAGCCTAGGATAGGTAAAGGCTTCAGCCTGACACCTAAGACGGTTGAACTGAGTGAGACCAGAAAGGAGAAAGAGGTGCCGCTAGCCCTGTTACGATGACATGTGCTACCAGCTCTGCCCATAAAACATGTGAATTTTAAAAGATCAGTAGCCCTAAAACTAAGTTGAAAGTTGTATGAAAGAGAAGTAACAAGCTTCTGTACTTGAGTACAATTCTATCAAGGAAGATGTGGCTCGAGTCTAACAATACTTATTTTATGTAATTAACCATCTTCATATGTTTTAGGCTGCACATTTTTTCTTAATCATAAAAAATTACTTTTGCAACATACTCAAGCCTCATGAAACAGTATTTCCTAAGTTCGAATTTCTAAATAAAGATATTTATTAATTATAAATAGAAAAATATTTTTTTTTACCTTTTAGATTTAATTCACATAAATAGCATGCAGTTCACCACATAAATGCTTTGGAATTATGGTTTTCATGGGAGACAGCAGTACCAAACCATCCTACTCTAACATCTCTTCATTGCTTTGTGTTACTTTCTACAAGAACACTAAAAAGAAACAGAATCAATTGTTGTGTTTCCTAAGTTACAGATCCCCATGCTTAACCAGCTAGTTGTTGAATAGACTACTGTTCTCATAGCCATTAAATCTAAACTTTAAAGTGGCATGCATTTGAAAGGTTACTTTATAGTATGTTTAACACTTTAGCTTGTTGTCACCCATGGCTCATATAGACTGGAAAAAATAGCTAATAGGTGTTAAATTAATACATTTTTAAAACAATACATAGACTGAGGGCATATCTACACTAGGTGCTAAGTGTTGTTTAAAAAGCATTCATAAAAATGTTTTACCATGCTTTTAAAAACACCCCCTATTTTCCTGGGCCCTGTCCAGACTACAATATATTATTTCTGTTATAATTTTGACAAAGCATTTTTATTTTTATTAATTTATATTTTCAGTTGCCCAAAATTATGCAGCTTAAGCATTTAAAAAAATAAATTTATATATTCACAGTTGTGGGAAAGAATGGGGTGGTCAAACAATACTTATTTAATGACTAGGGCCCTACCAAATTCATGGTCCATTTTGCTCCATTTCATGGTCATATGATTTTAAAAACAGTAAATTTCATGATTTCAGCTATTTAAATCTGAAATTTCACTGTGTTATAATTGTAGGGGGTCCTGACCCAAAAAAGAGTTTGGGGAGGGGGTCACAAGGTTACGGGGAGGGAGTTTGGTGGGCTGCTATCCTTCCTTCTGCACTGCTGCTGGCGGGGCACTGCCTTCAGAGCTGGCCATGTGGCCAACAGCTGCTGTTCTCGGCCACCCAGCTCTGAAGACAGTGTAGAAGTAAGGGTGGCAATATTGCAACCCCCCTAAAATAACCTTGTGACCCCGCTGCAACTCCCTTTTGGGTCAGGATCTCCATATGAGAAATTCTGGTCTCCCCTGTGAAATCTGGTCTTGTGTGTGCTTTTACCCTATAATATACAGATTTCACAGGGCAAGACCAGATTTCACGGTCCGTGATGCGTTTTTCATGGCTGTGAATTTGCTAGGGCCCTATTAATGACAATAGTTGTTGAGATTCAAAAAATTAAAGCATTTATAAACATTAAAAACACAAACTGTAAACATTGCATGTCAAAATATTCAGAGTAAATATCCTTAAATCAAACTCTAATAAGTTCACAAGCAGCATTTTTCTTACTTTGCCTATCTTTAAATTTCAATTACCAATGGAAATATTTGTTGTTCATTTGTGTGTGTACAGTGAAATCAAAACTTACCTATAAAAATCTAATCCTTCCAAGCCTAAAAACAGCTCATGTTTGAAAATGTTAGCTAACATTTTAAAATATAATTTTGCATCCAGTGTATAAACAATTTAACACCTCTAAAAACATGTTAACTGCTCATATCTAAAACACATTTTTAGTTACTACTGTGTCTACGGTAGGTGCTAAGTGGCATTTAAAAACATGTTAATTAACTCATTGTAACTAAGGCCTTGTCTACACTGGCAAGTTTCTGCACAGTAAAGCAGCTTTCTGCGTTATAACTCCCGAGGCGTACACACTGCCATGCCACATAGTGTGCAGAAACCCTAACCCTAAGCGAGATATCTTCAATAATGAACACAGCCTGTGGAAAATGTGGGTACAGGAATGATTATAAGACCCCCCTACAGTGCTGGCTCTCTCCAAGAGCCACGTGTCCAGTGTACAGTACAGTTCTGGAACACTGATTTCTCCTGCCCCTGAGGTTACTCAACATTTTGGGGGCTTGTAGCTCCTGAGTGCCTGTCGGGTCAGCCAGCTAGTGACAGGTATGTGAACAGTGGCTGTGTTTTAAACCAGTGGTCTCTGTGTTGCAAACAATACTGCTTCTGTAAAATGTTACAAAATGTTGTAAAGTGTTGTAACACTAATCTGAAAAGTTTTCAAAATAAATCACTGTTTAAAAATGTATAGCGTGTACCTTCTAAAAATGAAACCTACATCTATCTCTGAGTTGTGAAGAATATGTATTAAGGTTATAACAACCAACAAGAATGCACTTTTATGTAGAAAACCATGATTAAATCGAGTCTTCCTGACCAATGATTTAAATCAAATCCACCCTGTTACTTTCACAGCATGAAACAATGTCACAACTTTCTAGATTCACAGACTTGTTTTTTGCCAAATAAGTAATGTAGAAATTGATAACTGGAGTTCCGCCTCAGATATCCCATCCTCCTATGTTAGGAAAAGCCACTTGAACTGTCTGGATATGGAAGTCATCCTTCAGTGCTCTAGTAGTGCAATTGGTTAACACATGGGGAAGTACTGCTAAGGTTATTAGGACAAGAAGCAATGAGCTTAAAAGGGAGGTTGAGGTTGGACATTAGGAAAAACTTCCTAACTGTCAGGGTAGTTAAGCACTGGAATTAATTGCGTAGGAAGGTTGTGGAATCTCCATTATTGGAAATTTTTAAGAGCTGGTTAGACAAACACCTGTCAGGGATGGTCTAGATCAGTGTTTCTCAAACTGGGAACCGCAGATCACTAGGGATCCTCGGGGGGACTCCAGGGGGTCTGCAGGCCCCGCTGAGAAACTCCTCCCCCTCCCTCTGAGGCACGCCTCCAGCATGCTGGGGAACAGGTTTACTTGTCCTGGCTCACTGCTGCTCCCAGAAGTGGCGGGCACGTCTCTGCGGCCCCTGTGTTGGGGGCCAGAGGTCTCCATGCACTGTCCCCACCCCGAGCACCGACTCCGCAGCTCCCACTGGCCAAGAACTATGGCTAATGGGAGCTGCGGAGGCAGTCTATGGGCGGGGCAGTGCACGGAGGCCTCCGGTCCCCCCGCTTAGGAGCCGCAGCCAGAGGGATGTGCCAATTGCTTTAGGGAGCATTCCGAGGTAAGAGCCGCACCCCTCACCCGCTCCCACACTCCAACCCCTGCCCGAGCCCAAAGCCCGCAACCCCTCCCATACCCAAACTCCCACCCAGAGGGTATGAAAGTAAAATGTTTTAAGATTACAGCATTTCAGCTTCTAAGTCTTAAAAAAGGTCGAATTTAATCCACTTAAGAGGGGTTTTGTTTTTTAAATTTAACTGCTGTTTTTTTAAATGGGTGCCAACGATTAATTCAACCAGTGGGATCAATTTCTCTCTCAGGATAAGCATGTACTTTATGCTATCTTTTGCTCCTAATCAATAATGGCATTAATGACATCTCACGTTTTAAAAAAATACTTCTGAAAATTATTCTAAAATAAATTAGAACACTACCCCCAAACTGAACCAAACATGGAACCCAATTCTGGAAGGCGCAGAGCACCCTGTATTTCCATTGAGGAAAAAGGGAGTTGAAGGTGCTCAGCAATTTGCAGGGTTGAGAGCTTCTGGAATGGTACAGTAGCTGTAATTATGGCACCTTAATCTAATCACTCAATTCATTTTTCTTCTAAACTTTATTTATATTAAATGTTTTTCTTTCAGTGCTTTTCATTTATACATTTTAATGTGTTTTTACAAAGGAAACCAAGTGTCCTTATTCCCGTTTTACACATGGGGAAACCAAGGCCAAGACAAGTAAGCTATCTTGCCCAGAGAAGGACAGTGGCAAATCTAGGAAAAGGACCTCTTCACCAAACCACTTTGAAACCTTTTCTTCAAAACACATACACATATTTGACTCCTTTTCTGGAGGGCATCAGCTGGAGCATTAGTACCTTTGGAGCAGAGACATTGAACATTGGTAAAGTCAATAAACTACGTATGTACATTTGTGTTCTATTATCCGCGGAAAGAAATGGAAGAGCCCATTTCCTGATGTAATTTTGAAAAGTGACATTTCTGAACAAGGGCACTTCTGAAGCTGATTATGGGTATACTTTAGCGCTAATGACACAGGCCCAATGGAATGGAGATTTTAGACCCCCATTTATTATTGCAGAATAAATTAAGAATTTAAATTCAAATTTACGGTCAGAAAAACTTTAGCTTTTAGTTACTTAATTTCATTCAGTTTTCTATTTGATAAAACAAGGAGATGTGTCAGTGTATTTTTGAGAGCATTATTTCAACTGAAACTACCTCCTGAAGGTGTTTGGAAAGACAGCTTTTGAATCCAAAACATTTGTGATCTTAGAAGCAGGTTCCCAGAGCGCTCAATGGGAGATTTAGAAATGTATCCAAATCAATGTTTTTAATACAACAAACAGACTCTATACGGAGCTAAAAAACAAGGCCAGTAAGTTAACGTGAGTTTACAAGGTCACAGCTTTATTCTTCCTGTAAATGGACACTAAAGCAAAGGATTACTCCAAAATCTTATGTTCAGATCAATGCAATCAAAAACAATATAATATTATGTAAAAAAAAGTTACAGCTGAAGTCTGGTAAGGTCAAATTGCTTGAACTGATGAAACATACTTATCTAACTAACTGAAGTTATATCCAGACCATAAGATGCAGTTTAGATTTTTAAAAAAAGCATTAATGCAAGCAAGTGTATAGTGCTGAGAAACAATCAAGTTCTGATACCTAGCCTAACAACTATATTTCTAAAACAAGAATTTATTAAAAAGAAAAAGTGACCATTTTTAAATCTTCTAGGTAAACCCAATGTGAGGATAATTGTAATATTATATTGAAAGAATGTGTGCCAACTAGTCAGAATATTGATCCTTATTTATAGTCATTGCTCTCAGTATGCTGATATCTAAATGTGGGATAATAACCCAAAAATAAGAGACACAAGAGAATAGTTAATACAGGAACTTTAAGATGACAAATCATTTATTTAGAATAATATTTCATAATTCTTTATTTTTGACTTACATAATTTATAAGAAGGATAAGAAACTGTGGGGACCTAGTGTCAAGTTTTGGTCTAAAATGAGGGCCAGTAAGAGTGAATTTACTGTTTTTTTCCCCCCTCAGGACTAACGGTCTTTCCTCAAGACTCAGTTTCTTTACACTTTCGTCATTGGTCAGGAATTCTAAACCTCTTATTTTTGTTGGTCTCCTTCGGACTCTGTCTGATTTGTCCACATCTTACCTAAAGAGTGGTAGTCCAGAACTGGAGACAGTTCTCCAGATGGGACCTCATCAGTGCCAAGTAGAGTGGAACAATAACCTCCTGTATCTTACGTATGACACTCCTATTAATACACCCCAGAATTACATTAACCTTTTTTGCAATTGCATCACATTGTTGACTCAATCAATTTATGAACCACTATAACCCCCAGATTCTTTTCAGCAGTACTACTGCCTAGCCAGTTACTCCCCATTCTGTAGCTGTGCATTGATTTTTCTTCCTAAGTGTAGTACTTTGCACTTGTCTTTACTGAATTTCACCTTGTTGCTTTCAGACCAATTCTCAATTTGTCAAGATAATTTTGAATAATAATCCTTCCTCAAAAGTGCTAGCAACCTCATAAGAATGGCTATACTGGGTCAGACCAAAGGTCCATCCAGCCCAGTATCCTGTCTACCGACAGTGGCCAATGCCAGGTGCCCCAGACGGAGTGAACCTAACAGGTAATGATCAAGTGATCTCTCTTCTGTCATCCATCTCCACCCTCTGACAAACAGAGTACAGGGACACCATTCCTTACCAATAACACCATTCCTTACCCAACCTCTCTTAATTTTCAGTATACGTGAAAAAATAAAAATACCACTAAAATTTAGAAATCTGCAAAAATCAAGATAGGTATATAACCTTCCACTATAAATAAGCATTTAAGAATGTATTTTTTAAAGTTAGACTCATTGTTTGCTATTTTCCAACAACTAGAGTCAAAAGCAAGATTGAACCTGGCATGCACATATTTGACACATACTACTTTTACACATTATAAGATAAATACAAATTTGTGCGGTAAAAATGTGAATTCAGTAATCCTTCTGTAACAATTTACAGATACTTCTTTCCCGAAGGGAGAGAAAATATGCTTTAAAATGAAAACTTGGTTCTGTATGAAGTTTCACTAATTTCACTAATAATCCCAAAATGAGAAGTGCTCCTCTCTGCCAACACTTGCTTACAGAGACATCACCAGCTGAACTTCACCCCCATACTGCAAAAAGAAAAGGAGTACTTGTGGCACCTTAGAGACTAACCAATTTATTTGAGCATGAGCTTTCGTGAGTTGAAGTGAGCTGTAGCTCACAAAAGCTCATGCTCAAATAAATTGGTTAGTCTCTAAGGTGCCACAAGTACTCCTTTTCTTTTTGCGAATACAGACTAACATGGCTGTTACTCTGAAACCCCCATACTGTTATCTAAAACTTTTCTTACAATTGTGAAAGGTGGAGACTAGCAATGTTATTGCTATACTTCAGATTTTGTTTTTAGCTGTTATTCGTTTTAAGGCCAGATTGGAAGCAAGGTGTAATTAGCAACATTTCAATTAAGTTTAGTTACATACAGGTAACATTCGATCAATTTACACAAACTGAATGGCAGTACAAAGGGGAACACATTCTTATATGCTACTACAGAGGAAAAAAAGATTACACTTTAAATGCAGATTCTTGAAATTTAAATTAAATGACGTAATAGGTAAAGTTTTTAGAAGTTAATGCTCTTACAAACTGTATCTGGGTAAGTGGGTGAGACACTGATGGATCTGGAGCAGAGCTAACTGACCACCAAGGGGAGGAAAGTCAGCGACTTGGACGGACAGATGCTGCCAGTTTTCAGCTGGCAGATATATAGCTCGAAGTCACATCTCCACCTCCGATTTCTCGCTGACTGAATCCCCCGCAGGCCGCTGCCAGAGAATCCCTGGCGACGAGCCGTTATTCACCGGGTCAGCCCCTCAGGCGCCCGCCTGGCCCTATACCCCGCTCCTCCCGCACCATCCCCGGCTCTTGGCCGTGTCACGCTGGCTTCAGGGGCCAGTGCACGCGCGGCATCCCCCGCTGGGGATGGGATCCCGCAGCTCCCCCCCCCCACAACCCTTGGAGATAGGCCCCACCACGCACGGTTAACCGCTCCCCGTCCCAGAGACCCACTTACCGCCCAGCCCGGCGGCACCTCACACCACACACACTCTCTCGGTTCTCAGTTGGTTTCCAAGCACCGCCGCAACGGCAAGCAGCAGTGCATTTTGCGACTGCTATTGCTTGACGGCTGCTTGTCACACACCGGGGATGACCCCAGCAGGACCACCATACTGTGGGTGGCAGCACGCGCATGCGCAATGCAGCACCCAGCAAACCCGTTCAAGAGAGGGGAGAGGGCAGTGGGCACGCGCGGGTGCAGGATAGCTGGTGGAGTGAGGATGAGCGATCGGAGCATGCGCGGTTGAACGATGGCCGGTGGGAGGAAAGGAGGACGCATGCGCTGTGTGGCAGGTGGCTGACGGGAGCCGGTGGCTGCGGCGGGACGGTTGACTTGAGCGCGTTGTGAGTGGGGCGGGGGAGCTCGGGTGTGTGGGGCAGGGGCGCAGTGACTGAGGAGGCGGCGGAGTCCGCTACCTCCTTCCCGGCAGGGGGAGCGCAGCTCTCCTCCGGGGACAGTACGCGGATGCTGCAGTCCCGCGCGGGGGGGGCAGTGAGCGTCCCGCCTGACGCACCCGCAAGGGGCCTGGCAGTGAGTGCCGGGGGAAGGGGGAGCAGAGGGTACTTGTAAGCAAGCTGCTGGCTTGGCGGAGGGTCCTGAGCCCTGCCTCTGTGACAAATCTGCCCTGCCCAGCAGCTCATCCCTGCTGGGCGATGCCTGCTGTGGGCATCAGGGTGTGTTCGCCCAGCCGATCGGTAAAGCGACGTTTCCTTTTGCTAATTTTTAATCTGGCTCGTCTCTGGAACAATCTTATTGCCGTGACTGGAGTGTGAGGCCTAAGAGGGGAAAACGGAATATTGCCCCTGTATGTTTGAGATAGTGGAGTACTTAGGAGTGGAAATTTTGGTGGGCCCTGGCTTTTGGGTGGAGGGGCAATGACAGACTGTGCTAACTCAGCTTCTCCCCTGATGCCACGCCCTCTTCCTAGGTGTCTCCAGACACTGGGCTTCACCTGCTGAGCTGGGCACGTGCACGGGGCAGTGCAGAAAATGGCAAGGCAGAGTTGCCGGAGCATAGTTTTCTGAAGGGCGGGCGCATAGCTCCTGTCCTGGATTTCAGGTGCCTGAGTGATGCTCTGGGCTGCTGTGGCAGCACTATACCCTGACTCAGATTTGGGTGGGCTTGAATGCTACGTGGCTATGCCCCAGTGTGAGAATATTGGCAGTCACCTCTCTTCTCTAAAGTGCTCTCCCAGTTTTCTTCCAGCCACTTGTCCTGTAGAATTAGATATGCTCTGCCTTCTCATCAGAAATAAGCTCTATCTTTTTTTGTTTTGAGGTAGAGGATACATAACCCAGTAAATGTGTGTTTCCAGTTATATGTATACAAATTGAAATTAAAGTAATGCATCAGTCTTGAACCCCTAGTACAGGCAATAAGAAATAGTGCTGCTATTTAGGGGTTTGTGTACGCTGGCAATTAACAGCGTTGCAACTTTCTCACTCAGGGGTGTGAAAAAACACCCCCCTGAGCGCAGCATGTTGCAGCTCTGTAAAGTGCAAGTGTAAGCAGTGCCCCAGCTCTGGGAGCCATGCCCCTCATTGAGGTGGATTTTTTAGAGCACTGGGAGAGCTCTCTCCCAGTGCTGCGACCTGATCACACAAGGCACATTAAAATGCTGCCATGACAGCGCTTTAGCATTGCCAATGTAGACTAGCCCAAAGATGTTAGTCTCAGGCATTGACAAGAAGTTGATTTGTATATTTATCTACTTTTTTCTGTTCCTGAACATTCCATACCTATTACTTTTGATTAAAACCTTTGGTAAAGTTTTGGGGTATAAAGTGAAATTCGTTAAAATCTCAGGTTCTCCTGATTTGTTGGGGTAGAATCTTTTAAGACTGCACTGACCCTGGAAACTCTTTTTCAATGGACTTCATTTAAAATTAAGTATTTGGATTTTAGAGATCTAATGTGCATACCATGTATAACACAAACTTTCCAGATTAATTTGCGCTATTTCACAAGGTGATAGCTGGAAGTTACTGCCAGTTAGGTGGGTAGATCAAGATGGGCCAGTGCTGTCCAAATTGCATTGTATTTTGTACCTATTTTGGATGTTCTTGATTATTATTCCTATACAATGATTTGACCTGATGTTATCAGGGTAGGGAAGGTGAGCCATCTGCGGTCTAAGATTGCTATATAAACATCTTGAACATGGTATCTGCTCCCTTCACAATATTAAAAAATGCAAACAAACTGGGCAGTGCAATAATTTAAGGGCCATTCTTGCATGAAATTTAAGGCCCAGCTCCCATGAACATTTAGGTAAATGCTTAACTTGATACATGTGAATAGTATAACCAACTGCAACAAGACCACTCACATTCCTTCCTGATATATAAATTGCAATACAATGGTAATGAATGCCTGTAAAGATGAGTAATATTGAAAGCCATCTCTCAGACAAACACTGGAGAAAATGCACCTACCTACCAGTCAGTTGCAGGAGAAGGACCTGTTCCAATATGGGAATTTTTCTAAGAGGCCTGGAACCTTACGTATCTATACAGATCTGCTCAGTTGTATTCTAAAAATTTGTATGTATTTGTACATAAAGGGTATTCTTTCACTGTTTGCTTTAGTAAAAGTAGGAGTGTATGTACATTGAGAAAAAGTGAGCTAGTGTAAAATTATTCTCTTGCTTTTTATATTTTTTTCTATGTTCTTTACATTATGCTTTGCAATACACCCTGTATACAATAATACATTATATGCATTGTATGCAATGTATAATATTACAATAGCACCCAAAATATCGTATGGGCTGTACAGATACATAATATACTCCTGGGGGAATTCTGCACCAAAAAATTAAAAATTCTGCACGCAATATTTTAAAATGTTGCATATTTTATTTGTCAAAATAACACAATATAATCAAACCAGTTTCAATTATTTTGGTAATTTATTTCAACATACCTGACAGCAAATATGTCTGTAACAATACAGACAACAAAGAAGATTCAGGAAATGTTTTTTGACAAATAAATTCCTTACTAGGCATATTAATAAAGAACTTGAGCAATAATTCATTTAAACTACAATACAGAAACATATTTCCTGCACCCCTCAGAAGTAGTGCAAAGGCTTGTGGGAGTAAGGGGTAACAGAGGAACTGAGGGAGAAGGAAGTAATTGCTGGAAAGAAGGCTGGGAGTGAACATGGTGGGTAGTTGGATGTAGGTGAGAGAAGTATGGAACAGGTTTTTTTTGAGGGGGGGGGTTGTTAGGGAGTTGGGGAGCCTCCCCCATGCAGACCCTGGCTGACCCCTTGCCTCTCTCATTCAGTCAGGTATATCTGCCCCTGTCCCCATGTGTCCGTTCACCTCCTGTCTCCATATATCCTTGCACCCCCTCTTCCCTTTCCCCATGTGCCCCTGCACACTCACTCAGCCACCCCCTTCCCTCATCCCAATGTGGCCCTGCACCCCCACTCCCATTCAGGCCCTGCTCCAGTCTGTCCTCCCACTAGCTCTTTTGAACCTGTCTCACCCCCTGCAGCTCTATGTGCCCTGCTTTCTCTGTGCCCCCCATATTCCATGCCTCCTCACCTGGCCTTCTGGGCAAGGCGCTCTGAGGAAGGCAGCCTTTTCTCCTCCCTATCTGTAGAGGTCTGCTCCTGCCTGGAGCAGCTGCCCTCTGTTTTGGCACCACAGCATCCCCTTGTGGGTGAAAGGCATAACTGCAGTACCTCTCTGGCAGAACATTTCTTTGTATTTTCTGCAGAGAAAAAAAATTCTGCTGGGGACATGAATTCTGCACATGCACAGTGGCACAGAATTCCCCCAGAAGTGATAGTAAAGGACAATCCTTGCCCAGAGTTTATAATTTAAAAGAAGATTGGTCCTAAGAAAACATAGATAGTATGTGAAGTATAACCCTTGTAACTTGTAATAAAGTTGACTGGTATAATTTTTATTCAAGTAAAAATAGTACATTTATAAAAACAATGCAGTAAACCTAAATCTTTCCATAGATGCATAAAGATATCTGCCTGTTAAAGGTTCTTAAGTTTAACAGCAACAAAGGAACAGATATTGAATTATTATATATAGAAGAAGAGTAGCCCCCGGTTGCATCAACAGAGCCATAGAAGAGGCTTGCAAATCTTGAATATGATAAGGGAAAAGCAAAGATATCACTTAAAAGAAGAGTGCTTCCTAATACAACCACACTGAAAGTGACTAACATATAGGGTGAAATCAAATGGTGATCATTCTTCCATCCAGGTGTAGCTCTGCCAGTAGCTTCATACATGCACTCTGTTTGTCTAGTTAGGTAAACCACAATTATAAAACAGTAATTAATACTAAGCATTTTTGTAACTAAATCTTTTAAGAAGTGTGTTTTCTTAACAGTAGCCCCTTAATTGCTTTTGTGTGAATGTTCTTCGAAGAGTTGCTGTGCAGCTAGTAGACCACTAGAGTGCAAAACAGTGCAGAAAAAGATTTGTGCAACTGGAGTATACAGTGGCTACCAAAACTGTGTCTGTGTCCTGTTCCCAAAAGGACAGAGATGTTTGTATCACATGGAGGCCTACTAAGCTTTGACTGTATTCTTGGTCAATATCTGTCATGTAATTAAAACAAATAATTCTGGAAACCCAATTATGAAATCTGAGAGAATTAAAGAAAACTTTAACCCATATATTGTGTCTCTGTACTGCCACATAACATTTTCATAGTAAAAACACATTATCTTTTTCAAGTTCTGTTGCAATAGATGCAAGTATACTGTATCAGAATGACTTCTTGGAGTATATTATAGTCTTGAGTTCATCTCGTGAACAATGACATTTGATGTTTGGAAAGCAACTAGCACTCTGTGGGTGCTACTGGAAATAAAGGATACAGACAGGTTTCAGAGTAACAGCCATGTTAGTCTGTATTCGCAAAAAGAAAAGGAGTACTTGTGGCACCTTAGAGACTAACCAATTTATTTGAGCATAAGCTTTCGTGAGCTACAGCTTATGCTCAAATAAATTGGTTAATCTCTAAGGTGCCACAAGTACTCCTTTTCTTTTTGCGAATACAGACTAACACGGCTGTTACTCTGAAACCTACCATACACACTGTAACCAGAGTGATCACTTAAGGTGAGCTATTACCAGCAGGAGAGCTGGGGGTGGGGGGGGACCTTTTATAGTG